CACACTTACCACCTGAAAGACCTTGGGACAATTTTCTTTCTTTTAGTCCATCTCAGAAAGGGGTAATATCAAAGGTTTATAACTCTATTTTGTCATTAAATGGGCAGTCAAATACTAAGATCAAGGTTGCATGGGAAAAGGAGCTTGGAATTTCTCTGAGTGTGGACCTCTGGGACAAAGCTATGGATACGATAAGATCCACTACTTCTTGTGCTCGCCTTAGTCTTATCCAATTTAAAGTCTTGCACAGGGTACATCTTTCTAAATCAAGACTCTCTGTAATGTATCCAGACACCGAAGACAAATGTAAAGGATCTCCCTGTCACCTTAGCCATATGTTTTTCCTTTGCCCTGATCTACAACATTTTTGGACTGGTTACTTTACAATTATGTCAACTGTTCTTGGTGTAAATCTACAACCTTGTCCACTGATTGCAATATTTGGGATCACTAATTCTTCTCTTGTATTGACTTCCACACAAAAAGCTATTATTGCATTTACATCCTTGATGGCAAGACGACTATTACTTTTGCATTGGAAGTCTGCTGGTATCCCTCCATCTCCTTATGGCTCAAGGATATGATGCTTTTTCACTGGAAAAAATTGAATACACATTAAGGGGGCATTCCCACAGGGTTTCCCAAGTGTGGCAATCTTTTATTTTCCACTTTTCAAATCTGGAGTCGTTGCCTAATTAAAAAGTGTATTGTACTCCTTTGGATATGCTAGATAATTTGTGTTATTTGTATATTTGGTGGTGTTGTAACATAATGTGTGGAGCTGGGTCTGGGGGGGGTGGGGGGTTGTTGTTTGGGGTTTTTCATTATTATTCCTTTTTATTTATTTTTTTTGGCACTCCTACTTATAAAGGATGATGCTAATTGACTGTAATCGAGCAATATGGATGTGCATTTATATTACTATTATTTGTTATAATAATAATAATAATAACAAATACTAATAATGCATCAGTTATATAGTCATATAGTCAGTCAAAGGTGCTTTGCATGGCATTATTCATTCACATGCACATACTTATTTTACCCTCAACTATTCATTATCTTCATATTTCTTGAAGTTCTTTTTTAATTTTTTAACAAAAACACTGGTCACTGGCGTACAGTGGTGGAAGCGAGGCTGACAATCTGTGCCATCAGCCTTAACCCCAATCACCACCTGCCATTCGTGTCCACCAGACTGGACCACCGCTCCCTGGTTAAAGAGAACCTACTCAGACAGAGAGAGAACATGCAAACACCCCACAGAAAGGCCAGCTCTACACAGATGTTGATCCCCAGAGTCACACTCAAAACATCCATTGTACTTTGAGACTTGAACACGCTGCTCTGGCTCTGGACTCATGCCCGAAGAATGCACTGCTGCAGAAGAAGTCATTACAATCATTACTCATTATTATAAGAATGTATGTGAGACAGAAAGATAAAGGAGACCATAAACTTAAGACCATAGAACATACACTTTATGGAATCCCAATAAATATGTTAATTTATATTCGTTCAATGGAATTCTAAATATAACACCAAAAGCTTGATTGATAAAGGCTGGGATACATAACTTGTTTTATATATAATACATGTCATTCGTCCCAACAGAGAGTCTTATCTTAGTGACATTTTGTGAGCAAATCAGACCACAAGATGCTTATTAGAAAACTTGTTATGCAAACTTGTGAGAAATAACCCTTCTGACGCTTTGACCTGAGCTGAGCCGAGTGAGGGTGGTCCTTCATTTCATTTCTTTCTTTGAAAAATACTGACAAGGGCCAAAAATACATCCGTGTGTGTGTGAGCTAGGGTTAGAACCAAACTCTTTCAAGAGCGAGTAAGTAGTTATCTTAATGCAAATGTTATGTTTTTGTGGATCAAAAGTTAGAAACCTAATATTTTGCTGCTGACATACACAGCTTTGTACAGATAAAGAGTTTGGGACGTGTGTGGGTGACTGTAAATACAATCAAACTTTTTAAGCTCCACAATGTTCTACTAAAAATAAATACATCCGCATTCACTAATAACTTTCTCATAACTAAACGTACATTTCTACGACAGCTTTTGACAAGATGATTTAGCATTAATTGGCAGATGTCAAAATATTCCACGTTATTTTCTTGAACAAGAAATCCGTTCCTCTGACTTCGGCGTTGTTTATGTTGTTTGCTTTTTCCATGTTAAACAGGAAATTGCTGAGCTTTATCCTCATTACAGCTCAATATTAATATGATTCTGTGGTGACGGCCGATGAGCACTGTACAATAATATTCCACAGATCTCTCTCTCTCTCTTTCAATCGCAACACATTTCTCTCTCTACTTTTTGCTTTGTTTTTCCAGAAATGTCCAGAAGGGAGACGTTCTTCTTGCTCACAAAGGACTGATTCTGTGCCGGGTTGAGTCATAGAGACAGAGACAGAGCCACTGGGGTTCAGTCGCAGCGATATGAGCCAGAAAAGAGCAGAGTGGTACAAATGCTGTAATCCAAAAAACCCCAAAAGCTATTCACAAATTTCATACACTGCAAAACACTGTTCATTCCAAGGGAGACATCTCTTGTATATGTTTAAACAATATTATTTTGGTTGTACCATTGGCAAATCTTGTTTTAAGGCAGTCAGAATGTGCTCAAATTTACGTTTGGCCAAATGTTTGAATTATTTTGCATCGCTTTTTGCAGTGAAATGTTGTTGATAAAATGTGTGAAAAGACAAAGCTCTGTCTCTTCATGCAGCGCAGTCGACATGTTCGGCTCATATTCCTTATACAATTCTATCATTTCGTTTTAGCTTATTAATTTTTTGAGTCAGTATCTCCACTCTGGAATGGAAACATTGTAGAACAAGACAACTGTATAAACGAGATTTTATATATTATTAAGCTCTAGTTCTGTATTTTTGCTTCGTTAACAAAGACGCAACTGAAAGCTGTTGAACCTATTTCTATTTGTTCATAAATTACACAGGCTGTTTGTTCCCACAGAATGAGTTTTGTAAAAGTTTAATGTTCAGACTACAACATGTCTTCACCCTATTAGAAAACATGTTGGTTGTGAATCATTATTTTTCACATCTCTGTCTGAAAAAGCTGATCTAAAGATGTAATGGAGGCAAAGAAATCCTATAATACTATACTAGTTACCCCAGATTTTAAGTAACTTTCCTTTCACATAGCTCCTAATGATGTTATATTTTTTAGGTTTTTTTTACTCTGTGGAAATGCAGAGGGCGGTGCAGTTTATGGGTAGTGTTTCAAGGGAAAAGCAACAACTTTTAGCTGCAAATGTTTGATAGTAAGAAGAGCTTGCGTGAGGTCCAGTGGAGTGCGATGTGTGCGTCACATTCCTGCATGCACAAACCATGAGCTCCGGGTCTATTGTCAATGCCCCCTCTGTGTCGCCGTCACCTCAGAGACTACTGGAATGCTCATTCTCCCCTGATTCCGGGACGCTCTGCTGGATGGACTCGCTCTGAAAGGGGCAGAGAGAGAGAGAGGTGTGCTCCCACTTCAAAACAGGCAACAAAACTACAAAAAGACTTTATCCAGAAAATTAATCCTGAACAAAAAGGCCAGAGCTAGAACAAGACTGAAGCAAGACGGCAAAGCCCCAAACTTGGCTCAAACCAGAATCAAAGAAGATATAGAGATCCTTTATTTATCCTTAAAAAAATCCCCATCTTAAGCTTAGGAAAAAGACAAAGTATGAAAAAGTATATACATACTAGGCATAAAACTGTATACTGTACTGCAAAGAAATAGATGCTTGTATGTATAAATCTGTCACATATTCTAGTACAAGAAGTAATTTGCTCTGTGGGTTCAAGTATTCACAGTGATGAAACTATTTACATTCGTTCGCAGCAAAGAGTTTATGCCGCCCAGAAAAGAAAATCTAAAACTTTTAATATAAAATGCTCATTATATACAAGATAAGATAGACTTTATTGATCTTACACTGGAGAAAAGTACAAGTCACATTTGGCATGGATAGAATCACTTGGAATGTGCAAAAGACAGAAGTGTGCAAGGTTAAAGGTTAAAAATATAGTCTGTGCAGGATATAACTATGTACAGTAAAACAAATGAAATAAATAAATGATATAATTGGAATAGAGATACAACATAGGCCTCATGACATTTCACATTATTTCCATAAAGAAGAAAATTAACAGCTACTTTCCTTTATTTTCGGTTTTGTAAAAGTGTGTTGCATGTGAATGAAGGCTGCAGAACCTCTCTTGCACTTTCTCGGTTATTTCCCACATCCATCATAATTGCCTCGAATGAACTTGTTCTAATTTGGCATGATCTTTACCTCAAGAATACCCACAAACAGTGATACCTAAACCACTGTATTTACTATTATGTGTGCAGTAGTGTTTCACTTAGATTTTCATTGACAGTGACTCAGGCCTGGCCTCTTCCCTCAGGGCAGATACGGCTCTTGTCTGTTATGTTTAGTTGAAGTTTTAGTTTTAGTTTTTAATAAACAAGAACAGGTTTATCATACAGTAGCAAAGCACATAGAGACCGAACCTCAGCACGTTTACAAAAAATAAAATAAAAATAGACTTATTATCTATGAACTGTAGTTTTGTCGCTGTACTGAAACGCCACCTAGCGACAGAAAAGGGTAGTCTATATTCAAAACGTTAACATCACTTCCTCAAACATCTCGCAAAGTCTTGTGTGTGTCTTACCCGATGAGTAGATAATACCAGAATGGATCGGGTACCTGATACGGGGACATATTACTGTAACTAAGGTGTTACGTCACCCCTAGAGGCCAGCGTGCGTCTGGCCCCGCCCACACAGACGTCAGGTGGGGCAAGTTTAAGTTTCGCTCAGCATCACAGACTGGTCCTGGTCCTGTGGTCTATGGTCCTGCGGTCTCTACCCTGGACCTGGACTGGATTCATGCTCTGGACTCAGCTACATCCCGGAGGTCCAGCAGAGCAAGATCAGAGCTTGATTGAAATATTGAGCAAGATGAGTGGTAAGTCGACATTTTCTTTGTCGTTATAGTGTAGAAAACTTTGACAACATTATAACACCCTTTTGACAAACAATCACAAATAGATGAAATTGTCAACGAACGCCATTTGTTTCAGTAACTCAAACGAGAACAGGTGTTAATACATTATGTAGGGAATGACGTTATCATTTACTGAGGTGCAAAGTATAAAGTGTGTGGCTCTTTATTACGCCCTACTTACACTTTGCTCTGAGTCACTACTGAAATCATTCATTACGTTTAAAGAATTGTACCATAGTGAACGCCATGTAGAAGTAGAAATACAATAGACAAATGGCACAGACTCCGGAGAACTGCAAACTTGTTCCAGCCTGCTTGTTTATCCATCGATCAGCTGCAAGAAATAGCCTCCTGTACCAGCTTCATCATTGGTTATATAGAAACACCTAACCAATACAACTAATCAAAGTAGCCTCAATCTAACCTACAGCTATCCTTATAACATTTTAATTGACATGTGTGAATATCGATTGTTACACATTCATACTTTGTTATAATAACTTCTTATGTGTCCATATAGTTTAGTGCATAAGACTTAGAGCTTTCTCAGAGGCAAGATAATCCACTTTCCCTAACTCCAGTCAGGGAAATCACCTAAAGCTTTTCACTGGGGTCTCTTGTTTGTGGAGCACCCTATGACTCAGTCCATTATTTTCATTCCATTGCACTGAGACACTGACCCACGGGTTTAGACTGTCCCCTCAGGTGTTCAAAGGAAGCAGACTTATTTTAGCACCCCCCCTTACTATGAGTGAAATCACTGTGTCATATTGGGTGCACATAGTTGGGGGAATTACATGTACTCTTTATGACAAATGTATTTTTATCTGACTTTAGCATAATAAAAAATGAAATAATTGCGCTACAGTCAGAGATTTTGAACCTATTTTTTGCTTCATTATGCATAAATTGGAGATTATAGCTTCCTTACTATGCTAAAGATAGAGATTTTATTTAATCATTCATTATTTATTGTAAATTTATCCTGCTCCTTGTTGTGTTCCTCGTTCCCACTGTTCTGTCTCTGGTGATGCAACACTGAAATTCCCCACTTCTTTAAATTGTTGAAGGAATCTCTGTGGTCCAAAACGCTTGACTAACTTCAATGGTGAACGTGAATTGTGCAATGCATAATGTTGGTTCATAGGGAGTTTCGATGCAAAGACGTTTTCCCTTTCTTGCACATAGACTTGTCTCGGTCTTTCCCAGGTGTGACAGACTGGGCAGCAGACACAGACGGTGTTGCACAGGACGAGGTGCGGTCTGCGTCCTGGACTGAGGAGCGCTGTGAGGAGCTTTGGGACAGAATTGAAGGAGTACGGCACAAACTCACTCGGATCCTCCACCCGGCCAAACTCACGCCTTATCTGCGCCAGTGCAAGGTCATCGATGAGGAAGATGAAGACGAGGTGCTCAACTCCACACAGTACCCTCTGCGCATCAGCAAGGCCGGTGAGGGTTAGACGAAGATGACTTTTACATACTGAGAGCTGATTGGCTGAATGAGGGTGGATGATATGAAGATGTAACAATGAAGACTGTTTTGAGACCTTCGAACTACATGGATTTCAGTAGATAGCTATTTTTTGTAGGTTTGTTGTTAGGTACTCCAGCTTTAATAATTGTATGGGGTCGGCAGGCAAAAACAGGTGTTACAGTTCAATGATGCAGCGAGAAAAAGATGAAAGGCTTCACTAAGTACAGGGAGTAGAGGTGTGTAACGAGGAGTGACACGAGATAAACATGTTTGAGAAGAGTTGGAATGTTCTTCATTTTATTTCATTTTTTTCACTAAAGGACGAACAATGCATATTAAAGCTGGAAAAAACACATACATTAATCAGTGGAGTACAATCTAACTAGTTCCTCGATCTCAAAAGAGTGGAATTTGCATGTTCTTCCTGTGCCTGCTCCAGGTTCTGGGCTTTCCGGTTTCCCCTACCACTAAAAAGCATCAACACCTGGAGCGTGAATATTTTTAGTCTCTGTCTCTGTCAAATCTTTAGATCAGCTTTTTTAGACAATAAGAGAAGAACTTCTCTTACTCAGCCAATCACCTCTCAGCCCAAGGAGTATTTCTTACAACTTTAACCCTAACCCTAACCCTTTACAAAATATTAAGATCAAGGCAGCATGTTGTGGTTAGATTTACTTTTACAAGACTCTTGGGAGAAACATGTATTATTTATGTTGTGACCCCAACTTTAATGGAGGTTTATATTATAACAGGCAATAGCTAGTGGCTACTTTCCATCTGCCGACCCCTTCTTCATGATAAAACATCAAACAGTTTTCATGTGAAACCTCAGTTTATATCGTCCTCTCTCAGGACGTCTGCTGGACATTCTGCGTGGCCAAGGCCAGAGAGGTCTCCAGGCGTTCATGGAGGCTCTGGAGTTCTATCACCCAGAGCAGTACACCCACCTGACGGGGCAGCAGCCCACGCACCGCTGCTCCCTCATCCTCGGTGAGTCTCTTCTTTCTGCGGCGACAGGAAACAACAATGATCACAGTGTCTGTTTCAGATGAAGAGGGTCCTGAGGGGTTGACACAGTTTCTGCTTTTGGAGGTGAAAAAGTTGCGTGAACAGCTGAAAAACAGCCGTCTGTGTGAGCGGCGCCTGTCGCAGCGCTGCCGTATGGCCGAGGAGGAGCGCAGTCGAGCTGAACGCAAGGCACAGGAGCTGCGCCGTGATCGACTGCAGCTCGAGAAGTCGGACACTTTTCACTCTCACTAAATCTACATTTCTATTTCATCTTCATGCTGAACGTTTCTCCAGTCACACGACAGGTTTATGAAAATACTGAAAAAGTTATACTTGGAAAAGTTTTGGAAGCGTATTGGAATGGTGGAGTTGTTAAATATGCCAAAATGAACTACATTAGAAATAACTTTGTTACTGAATTATTCAAATTTAAAACAAAAATCAATGTTATGAATTGGTTGTATATAGGGCTTTTTGGACACTCACATGGGATTATTATCACTCTATACATAGTTGCAGTGAACTACTCCTGTTACCACAGCTGCCCTGTGGCAGACTGACAAAAGCGAGGTTGCCAATCTGAGCCAATAGCTCCCCCAACCATCTCCAATCATTCACCCACACAGCAGACTCATACTCTGCATTGTCTTGCTTAAGGACACAACCATAGTTTGACATTTTACAGCCGCAGCTGCACCACTATGGCCCCTGGTGCTCCCATCACAGTTCTAACTAGGCCCTGCTCTGCTTAGCTTCTGAGACCTGATGGGATCAGGTTTTCATATGGCTGGTTAAAACATTTATAATACTAATTGTCAAGTTATTCAAGTCAGGGACATATTTGAGAATACCGTGGTTTTGAAAACTTCAACTGACTGTCTGAAAGTATGATTTTTCAGGTTAATTTCTTTTTGAAGGACCTGCCGTTGGGCTCAAATTATTACATGTAATCGCTAAATCCAATAATCCAAGATTTTACATTTGAAACAATCAGGTGAAATGTAAGGACTTGTATGGTCTTTGGTATTCAAGTCAAAATGCAACAATGCAAGAATATTAATTTACAGTCTGCGTTGGTCTGTAGGGTCCGGCAGGACTGGGAGTCGGCCAGCCGGGAGCTGGGAAAACTGAAGGACCGACTTTTGGAGCAGGCTGTGAAATACTCCCGAGCTTTAGAGGAGCAAGGAAAAGCCACGAGCCGAGAGAGAGAGCTGCTGAGGCAGGTTCGTGAACAAAGAAACCACACGTACAAATGCTGTATGCTCCGCAGTTTCATTATAAAAAACATTCCCAGACAGTTCTAGAGCGGAGGATAGTGAAACCATACTCAGCATTTTTTCTCAGCAATTCAGTGCACATCGTGTCACAGCATGTCAACCACTCTACCACAATTACCTGCACACGCATACTTTTCTCACTGCATTAGGCTTGTGTTTAGTGTTTCAAATCATCCTTATAACAACAAAAACACTTCAGACTGTAATTTAGGATCATCAGAATCATGTAATTGATGCCTTCTTTTGGGTTAGGCTCTATTCTCAGGATAGTTTTTTGTGTTTGTTTTGATGATAAGGAATTTGGAGAATTAGTTCACAGTTCTTGTTTCTGCAGGTGGAAGAGCTGAGGTCAAGGATGAGCGAAGCAGAGAGGTTCTCGTTGGAGACTTACCCCACGATGTCGTCCAAACGCAGCAGTTTAGTGAGCAGCAGTTTTCAGCTGCATCCACCTCCTCTGCCGGAGAAACCTCTGAAGTATCTCAAACCAGATGACACGGACAATAACAGCCGGGATTCAGGGGTAATCTTTACAAATACTGCATTTCAAAGAATACTTTCTGTCATGTTGAAACTTTTTAAGACACTACTTCATTAGACTTGAATGAGTAAATATCTACAGCCTTATTTAAGTCAATACTTGGTTTTGGCACAATATCTGTTGACATAAAGTAATTGACCTGGATATCTCACTGCTAACCTGAGTCCAGCATAGATTAGGCAAAACCTGATTGCCTTTTCATAACCCTGGGAAGGCGTGGCCCAAACAGTGAAGGTTATGTTGTGTTGAAATCGTAAAAGTTTACCACAGCTTTACCTTGTGAATGGACTTACCTACAATAGTCTATTCAGTTGTGTAAATGATTGTGAAATACTGCACTACAAATTAGGTTTTTTTTTCATACCATTTTGTGTCCTGTGACGATTATGGTGCCCTTCCTTAATCGTCTGCCCTTTATGTGGGTGTGAGACAAGTGATTGCACAGTTGCTGTTGTGTTGTGTTTCATTGATGCATGATGTGTTTGATCGGTCAGGCGCTGATGGACATCCTGCAGCAGGACAGGAGAGAGGCGGCAGAGGAGCGGCAGGAGCTCTGTGACATGATCACCATGTTACAAGAGGACGCACAGAGGTCTGAGGAGCAGATGAGCCGAGTCAGTCTATGCTCTTTTCTCCTGTCGTACACATTTGTTACATTCACTCATTGACAGCAGTGGCCTCTGTCTGCAGCTCGAGAGCCAGTGTGAGCAGCTCCAACTGAAGGTCAGCACTTTGCAGCTGGACTGGGAGACGGAGCAGAAGAGAAGTGTGTCCTACTTCAATCAGATCATGGAGCTGGAGAAGGAGAGGGACCAGGTCAGACAGCAGAAGCCTGCTCGAGCCACTGAACCACTGCATATGTTGTTGCACAAGATTAAGATTGAGAAATCCTTTATTCGTCCCAACAATTTTCAGTGTTGTTTGACATATCAAACCCTGGACTGTGAGCCAAATCCAGCCCCAAAAGACGATTTCTACTGGCCACTAAAATTATTTTTTATGGTTTTGTGCGACCAAGGCATATCATGATATATGACATATCATGTCATATATCATCTATTTTCTCTGGAAAACAACCAAATTTAATTTATTCTGAAATGTTAACCCAACACATCCTTAGAAGGTCGTGGGTTCAAGCCCACCACGAGACCGACTCCCTGCTGTCTGCTGTCATTGTGTCCTTGGGAAAGACACTTAACTCCACATTGCCTGAAGCCTCTGCTGAAACATCAAGGCTATGCTCTCACTGACAGAGCAGCCATCCTGCTGTGGACTCACAGAATAACTACATTTTTGGTTTTACTCCAGCAATAAACACATTGTGGTTTCAGAAATATTAAACCAGGAAATAATAGTGAAACTCATGTCACATTAAAGTAATTCAAAACGTTTAAAAAGAAATGATAAGAAAAGGAAATTCCTTCTATTCTTTCGGCCCTCGAACAGTTCCTATTTTTTTATTTGGCCCTTGACCAAAATGAGTGGTCACCCACTCTAAGTATAAAATCTCTGACTTTATGCCGTTATGCCTTTAACTGTGAAACCATCATTAATGTTCTCCAAACTTCTAACATATTTAACAGGCCCTAAGAAGCCGAGACAGCCTGCAGTTGGAGTACACAGACTGTCTCCTGGATAAGAACCGCTTGCGTAAGAGAATTTCAGAGCTGCAGACCAGTATGGAGCAACAGCAGAGGGAGCTGGAGAAAGAGGCCCGAGTGCAGATGGACCAGAGCTCGTGTCTGCACCGTGTGAGTGTGCCGCTGGTTTTACTGGAGCCAGACCAGTAAAGCTGTAAAAGTGTGTTTTTTTCGCAGTCTCACCTGTCGTTGTGGAGCGAGGACCAGTGTTACGGCCCCTGCTGCTCTCTGGGCCTGACCCCTCAGCCCACCAACAATCTACTGCTGCGGAAGGTCAGCTATAGTGGTCATTGTCACCTCCCCAAATATTATTATTTATTTATTGACTGTGTAGATAGATGACATTACATCACACATTACAAAAACATTTCAAATAATTGCACTGCAAAAAGGGATGAAAAATAAGGAAAAGATTGCTCAAATTTGGCAAAATGTATCATAATTTGAGCACATTCTGAGCAAGCAAAATTATTTTGTTATAACAAGATACAAGAAATGTCTCCCTTTGAATTAGAAAATAAAGCAACAGTACTTTAAAGTAGACTAAATCGCTTTGTCCTGTTGGCAAATCTTGTTTTAAGACAGTCAGAATGTCCTTACATAAATACCACTTGATTTGAGCATTTATTACTTCATATTTGATCACTTTTTGGAGTCTGTAGTCGAATTTTGTAAAACTATATTTGTCCTTTTTCCTCAGACACACGCAAGAGGAAGAACAACAGGTATGTACGATATGGGAATCCACAATCCAAATGCTTCTCGTGTAATGAATATTTACTAAGAATTTAAATGTAATGAAAATATTTAACATTTCTTGACAGATTCTCATTCCAACTCGGAGGAAAATCTCTTAATTTCAGTGAGTAGACATTTAAACTTCAGATTAATTAAATCAAAGTCGTTCAATTTCATCAATGAACATTATCAATTTGCTTGTAGGCAGACGACAATGAAAAGGAGATTAATCGGCTTTCCACTTTCCCCTTCCCTCCTTGTGTCAACTCCATCAACAGAAGGTTCAATGCAGAGTGAGTTTTTTGGCAGCTGCTACTTCCAAAATGATCGTTTTCTTATCTTATCCCTGTGACGTTTTATTTAGTTATGTTAACCCTACATTCTCCTTTTAGGTTTGACTTGGATTCTTGGGGCAGTGATGAGAATGAAAACATAGCTGGTATGTTGGACCTTTTTGTACAAATGAGACATTTATTCAACATGTTTTGCTTTTAACTTTGTGCGCTCATGTAACGCCTTCAGTGCTCAGATAGGCGACATATACTGTATATAAAATGTATTATTATTATTATTTATTGCCACTTTTTCTTTAATTGCCGCATTTTATTGTACATAATATATCCTGAACAGACTATATTTTTTAACATGTTTGCACACTTCTGTCTTTTGCACAAATCTGAGTGATTCTATCCATGCTAAAGTGTGACATGTAAATTTCTCCTGTGTGAGATCAATAAAGTCTTTCTCATCTTATCTTATCTGATCTTATCTTATCATCACCACATCTTTCTTTACAGGTGAACAAAGTGAGATTTCTTTGTGGGATTCCTGGACCTCGTTACATTCCCAGCCCTTTTCTCCTGATTTGATCAAAGTTCCGACTCCCAATGCCATTGATCAAAATACTCAGGGGTAAAATGAGTAAAAATCGAATCTTATTGTTTCTGCTTGATAGGATGGTTGAGATACTAAATGCTTTATTTCAGGATGTCCCCGCTCACGTCTCCTCCAAACTCCCCTACGTCTCTTCAGGACAGAAATGCCAGTCTCGCTGATGACATCACCATCGTGGGGGGGAATCGGACTGGGATCTTTGTGAGCCACGTGACGCCTGGCTCTCCGGCCGAACAGTGCGGACTCACACGAGGCTCTGAGCTGCTCGAGGTGTGTAGATCTTTGAAAAAGTTATTCATCTAATTCATTACGTTACCTAAATTAGAAGTGGGCAATTATTTTCCCCGGGGGTACATTGGTATATTGGTATAATGTGGAGGGCCAGACTCGTTTTCATGTGATTACCATTTCATTTAATTTGGATTTCATTTAATTTTAAACATATTTGAGTTTAAGCTACTTCAGTTAAGAGACAGAGAGGGAAACGTGAAAATACCAAATGTTATCTTTGTGTTTGTTTAAATCTGCGGCTAGTTTAGTTTAGTTTATTTATTTAAGATGACAGGGACAGTGTACAATAAACATTAACCTCAAAGGGAAAGATACATTGTACCAGGTTATAGCTCAAGAGCTAATTTCCACCCGTAGTCCCTGGGCAGGCTGATGTTATGATATAACGTTAAAAATAACAGACATTCATAGATGTACGTTTTACATTTGGTCAAAATACAAGTCTTCACATGCACAATTTGTTAAAACCTCACATTCATATCGCTCATTTATACTGGTCAAACACACACTCACTCTCTCACTCACTCACACACACATGCTACACACGGGTGCAAGTTTGGTTTGATTTTTAACCATTTCTTTAAAATGCGTGAGAACATGTAAGAATTAGTGCTTGCTATCCGCTCCGTGGGCAGCATGTTCCACTGACGGTCACACAGGAAAAAGCTGAGTTTCCAAAAGATGTGTGGCTAGAGATGTGTTCTAACCTTTTACAATATTTATTTATTTAAGGATATTTTTTATGGATTAGTTATCTTTAGATTTAAATGTTTGCTTGGATTGAACCAAAGCTGGGCTAAAGCTACAGAAAGAACTGTAAGCATTGAGGACAAATTCATGTTTTGGATTCTAGCGCTCGTTGCAAGTTGCTATTGATTCCCCTTCATTTAAATAGGGGAGATAGTATGAAGTTTGCAGATGGGAAAAGGTCCAAGGGCCACACAAACATAACTTGATCCAAAAAAATAAGTCTTTTGAAACTCAGAAAATGTTTGTGCCTAGGAATTGAAAGTGGCTGAAGTTTGTATTGTTCTTTGTGAAGTGAAATAGTCTGTACACCCAATCATTTAGTCTTGCTGTATTTAAAGGCGGTTGAATAAACTGTGCTGATAACATAGAAAAAAAGCTCAAAGGGCCACATGGAAACATAAATCTGACCTTATGAAAAGTTTGATTGAAATGAACAAAAAATTAATTTCACTACTTATTTTCTGTGTCACAAAAGTATGTACATTACTTCGGCATTACTTTATTATAGTCATTTCAAAAGAGCAATTGTGCAATAGTGAGATGTAGACACGGGTTTGTCGTCCTCTGTAGCTGGAGCGTGTGTTGTTTGGAGGAGGGAGTGTGCAGCTGGCTCAGTGCACTGCAGAGGTCGCACACTTTTCTCTCCAGTGGTGGACGGAGCCTTCGTCACTGAAGCACAGGAGCAACAGCGAAGGTGAAGTCTCATCGTCTGTAATGAGTGTAAAGCTGATACAGGGCTCCACAGGCAGTCAAGAAAATACAGTGTAGTATGCAGGGATGGACCCTTTTTCAAATGCAAAATAAACATGTAAATCAGTTTAGTTTATTAGTCTATTTGGACGGGGCAGTGTATTGTATTCATTAAGGTTTTTTGGAGACATTAAAATTGAAAAGAGATTGTAAATGTATTTTTTCTCATAGGGAAACATTTCTTCTGACGAAAGATTTTTTAAATACTGCAAGCTTGATTAATGTTGAGAACTATCACAATTTAGAAGAAAGTTCAGTTGAAACAGAAAAAGAAAAGCACCAAAAAAGGTGGGATAGAATTCTTGAACACTTATCATTGGAAAGAAATTCTTCATTAGTTTTTGTATGAATGTGAAAAATCTTTTGTTTTGTCTGTTTTTTTCTTTGGTGTCTTTGTTCGTCCCTTTTGTCCTTGCTTTTTTTGTGTGTGTTTTGATTATTGTCCTTAAAAGAGAAACTTTAGGTACAAAAATAAATCTGACTAATTTTCCTGTTGTATCATATTATTAACGACCCTTCCTTTTGTCTATAGCGTTTGCCAAACTGTGGACCGAGATCCAGTCCTCTTCTTTTATGGGGGCAGACTCATTCTATGTCCGTGTGAACCTGAATATGGAGCCTTATGGGGACCCCCCGTGTGTGGGAGTGTCGTGCGATGACATCGTCCATGTCACAGACACCAGGTTGAATGGAAAGTATCACTGGCGCTGTTGGCGAGTCGACCCAAACACTGCCATGCCTCAGCAGGAAGGGACCATGCCTAATTACAACAGGTACACAAAGAACACTTTAATTTCAAACTTAATTCAACATTTCCTTTGATATTTTCCTTTTTTAAAGGGCTCAGCAATTGTTACTTGTGAGGTTAAGAAAACTGGCACTTGAACAAAAAGACTCCAAGAGAAAAGTGGTAAATCTACGATACAGTATATTACCAAATGATGACAATGTTTGTGGTGTGTATTCCCGTTATTATTTGAGGGGCCATTTTGATTTATGAAATGTTAAAATATTATTATATTTAGAACAGAAAGCTGTGCATTAATGATTTAGAATCATGTTTAAATGTTTCCTCATATTCCAATAGTTTTGGAAAAAAGCAGCAGAGCGTGTTCGCCTGGTTAAAGCTGTGGACCCTTGCTTTCGTGGGGTCAGCTCTGGGCAGCAGGTTTTGTACACCCTCAGTAAACGTAAGAAAGAAATTAAATTGTGCGTTCAGCCTTGTGTTTGAATTATTTAATCTTACTGTATTTCTCAATTCTTTTCAGGTCACGAGGAGCATCTGATTCCATACAGTTTGGTGAAGCCATTTCAGATCCAAACTAAACGGCCAGTTGTTTTCTCTCCATGTCTTCTGTCCCGAAGACTTATAGAGAAACTGATACAACCTGCAGACTCAAGTCTGAACTTTAGCACCTGTCCCCCCAGTAAGATAATCCGCAGTCCTTTGTGCTTTCGTCATTAAAATACACTTACAAATAGAAGCAGGTAAATGCCATTTTCTTGTTTTTCTCTGAATCAACAGAACATATCCCTGTTACCGAAAGAGAAGACAAGAAAGTATTTTTGTTAAACTCCTACACTACAGAGCAGGCTTTGGGTGTACGAGTGCAATCCATACAGGATATAATCAGCCAGGTGAATGTACACACTTTTGTGACTCCTCTATCTCACAGCTAAATGTTCACTGTTAACAATATTGTCAATTTTGTTGTAGGACAAACACTGTCTGTTAGAGCTGGGGCTGTCCAGTGTTGAAGGGCTATTGAGACAGGGGATTTACCCTATTGTAATCCATATTCGCCCTAAAGGCAAGAAACTAAAAAAACTAAGGTACGTATATATATTATCAGTGGGTTTTCGGATGCTGTATATATATAACTATTTGTTCCCATTAAAGAAAGTTTTTCCCTCGATGTGGAGAAGACGGAGCCATGGAGGAGGTGTGTCACGCTGAAGAGCTGCAGTTGGAGACGCTGCCTCTGCTTTATCACACTCTGGAGCCAAACACCTGGAGCAGCACAGACGACCTACTGTCATCCATACGCAGTGCCATACATAGCCAACAGAGGGCGGTAGCATGGGTTGAACTCGATCGGTTACAATAATAACAGATCCATCGAACCATGATTATTACATGAACGTATACTGTGATGATAGTGTATTTACTGGTTTTGAATGTGTTTCTATTTGTTTTATAATGCCTGTATTATCATGAAAAAATAATAAAAGACAATTTGTATTCTGTAGTATTGAAGTGTTATATCTCTTGCATAGAAGAGTCCCTCTTTTAGCCTGTACTTGTTGTTATTATTATAGATTCATGACTTCAGTCTAGTAGTAGTCACTTCTACAGTGCATATTTTCAGCAGTGTGATGTTTGGTTTGAGAGCGCCCTCTGGCGTACAGAGCACACACTGCGCATGCCTCCTCCCCTCTATGATCAACAACAGCCCGCTCTGGTGATATCATGCTGCTAAAGCTTCTACAGAAGCAAAATGGCCGATAGTAAACTAACCGATCATACGGTGTCCGACAGTCATATAAGGGTTCTGCATGATTTGTTTACAGCGTGAGCATTGAGCTAGACAGACGGATAATCGTCTTTACGCGTTTTACCGATTTGCATTTCGTCTTTGGTTGATGTCATTTATACAAGTTCGCCATCGAAGCCTCGGAAGATCTAGCTCGCTAGCCTAGCGACATAGCTAGCTAGCTAGCAGTGGATCTGCAAAACATTCTGCACAGAAGCACTTTATGTCTTAACTTCGTGTAATTCCTGAGGTGAGTGTAATTTGTGGCTTTGTAGAAATGTGTCGTAATAACGAGGCTTGTACTGAGGGCGGACATGAACACTCGGTCACTGCGCTCTGCGAATTTCTGGCGCTGTAGCAAGTTTTATGTTGTCTTGGATCGTATGACCGACTTCGTAAGATTAAAAATGGTCCAATATTGGCAACAATTTTGAAATGAATTCGCACATTGTTCAATGGTCAGCGTTTTTCAGCAAGATTGAGCGTTATTTGCACAGCTTGCACTGGCTCCACAGAGCTACCTTTGAACCTTCTCGTTCTGCCTCATTAGATCATAAGATGGCATGGCGTAGACTGCTCGCTGCTGCTCTAGATGCAGGCAACAAGTATGGTTAATTCAGTCTACTACCAAACTCCAGACGTGCCCCGAAACCTGAATTGGAACTAGTAAAATATCACCTATGCTTTTATTATGGGGGATGTTGTTCCAGCGAAGCCACTGCTTTAGCTGACAATGTTGCTGTAGTAGCACAATGTCTGGTATTTCCAATCACCTATTTTATACACCAACTCAAATTGTGCAAACTCACGTGTCCTGAGATGTGGCTTGTGTTGTATAGAATCACATTAGAAATAAAAATTATAATTTTCTTGAGCATCATAACTGAACCTAGACATTCAACAAGATGAAAGAGATTACTCTGAACTCAACCTGTTTGCTCCACCAATTCAATGCTGTCCGCGTTCGAGTTAATGAATTATGTAGCGAGCGGCGAGAATACTAGGCCAGGTCGTCAAGCTGTCTACCCCAGGCTAACATTACCACTCACACAACTGCACTCAGAGCGCATGCAGATGGAACCGCCAATGTTCGATGTACAAGTTCATCTAAATGATGCGAGTGTGCAACTGTTTTCTCTGGACAGGAGTATTCTGAAAGGGAACAGTGTTTCATGGAAGACAAGAAAAAGAAGAAAGAGGAGAAAAGGAAAAAGGAAACCCCACAGACGGTAAATCAATGTACTGACTTAGAATCAATTGTAGGTCGATTGTAAATACTCTTGGAAATAACCAGCCTTAGTTTAACCCAGGGGTGCTCACACTTTTTCAGCATGCGAGCTACTTATAAAAGGATCAAGTCAAAATGATCTACCTACTACAAAAATGCTAATCATATATTTATTTCAAAAAATATTCTTTATACCTACAATGTATGTTTATGTACATGCAAAACTGCATGGGCCAATATAGCACAACACAACACAATTACCTATGTACATTTTTGTCATTACCCGAGTTTACTCTGATGACTTGCACTGAATTGAATCGGCCAGGGATGCATAGTCCGGAAAATTGGTGGTAACTCGCTGACAAGTTTGTCGTGGTTTAGCTTTCCTGCACTGTGCGGTTGTTTGCGCATGTGCAGTCACCTAAGTGTCAGTAAAACATTACTGAGTAAAACACAGATGTCATTTGACTGTGGTGCCATGTCCATGTGCCATGCCTGTTTTTTTAAAATCCAAATATTTCCCCTCCTCCGTTTATAAAATAATTTGCATCCACACATCTGCGTTATCAATCACATTCGTAACATTCCAAACATGTGCGTCTCTTACGTCCTGTCCTGCGTTGGGGAAAAACACAGAAGTGGGCGGAGCTTTGATGCAGACGCCGGTAACGGCACTTTTATAGTCATAGAAGACACTCAGAGTAAAGACGTATGTTTACAAGCACTGACCCCGTCCTCAGCCCTGGTTTAGTCCTGGTTTAGTCCTGGTTTGGTTGTTTTCGAGCGTGAGTCCCCGCGATCACTTTGCTGCCCTCTGATGTGGAGCGAGGATGTTTGCTGCTGCGAGCATCTCACAGCGAACAGTTTTTAAGGTAGTATGATCCATGCTTCAGTGATCAGAGGAATTTAGGGGGGTACTGTGGCGTGCGAGAACGCAAAACTCAGGTTATCTCTGTCTACACACAAATGCATTAACGGAGTTTTCAAAAATCTCCACTTTGCCCGGAGTTTTTTGTATATATTCGTTTAGAATGTGTAATTTTTTATTTATTTAATGCGATCTACCAATACTACCTTTGCGATCGACTGGTAGATCGCGATCGACGTATTGAGCACCCCTGGTTTAACCCAACCATAAAATAAAATGCTGGTGGATACAGGGTATACAATGCTTATGTTGAACTTTATATATGTCAGATGTTTGGAGTATATGTGTGTTACGCGCAAAATGTAATATTTTTGTAAATGAAATAAGTACTTTTAAAAAAATATTTGAACTATCAGATTTGAGAAGCAACATTGTTTTAAATAATGTATAGATTTTGAATGTTCTTAATTATGATTTTTTTCTCTTTAAGGTGCCAGACCAGAAACTCAAAGGTAAGGTTTAAATTTGTCATTCTTTGGGATGGGGCAGTATGATTCCACTGTATTCGCACTCTGTGGATCACAGTGATTCTCTTTTGGCGATGTTTGGCTGTAACAATTAATCACAATTCGTTCTGAAACTCCATCTAACCTATTCAATTTAATATATTTTTGTATAGCCCTAAATCACAACAGTAATTATCTCAGAGGACTTTAAAAAGCTGTTGTTTTGCCAACATATATCAGAGAATCAAACAGTTCCAACACAGGAAATGAAACAACAACAAAAACAGATTCAGATTATCAGATCAGATTCATTTATTTGCCATTTGCAGTAAAACCACATAGGAAAAACTGTGCAAGACTACCCCAGTGTGCACCAGACGACACACACCAGAGCTCTTGCCACACAGAGCCATTGATCCATAAGGAGGGGATGACACATGTCCATAAATGTGTCTAGAATGTCCTGGATCATCACCACTCCTGCATCGGCAAGCTCTAAAAACCCAGTGGGAGAAATGTGAGGAACCTCGAGGAGGCCCACATTGATTCTCTAAATGTAAATGTAAATCTATGTTTGTGAGGTGGAAGACATCCTATCCTTCCCACCTCACTCGTGTTACTTATCAAAATGCTGATTACAATGGTTAATTGGGGTATGTTGGTCCAAACTTCTTCATTGGCTGTGCAAAGCAGCTGGATATTGGCAGAAACTGGAACATGTTGTATACAGCGATCCAGAGCATGGCTAAACCTGCATCATGCTGCAACATGAGGTGTTAATGGATAAATGGTCTGTCAGGAACGCGCAAAAAACTAATGCTGCTTGATATTTCCACAAAATGTTAATGCAAACTTTAAATGTGAAGCAGACGAGTCAAAAGAGCAGCACAATAAATGTTATTTCTAGTTTAAACAAATGTTGGGTATCAATTTTGATAAACTTAGGTGCATGTTTACATCCTTTTGTTGGAATAGATAAAAAAAATACCATTGTCATATTATTTCCTTTTATTCTTCAAGGCGAGCCTGGCTTTATCATCGATTTTAATCACATGATTATTATTTGACAGCCCTAAGCTGCAGTATACGATTCCATCTTCATGCCACGTTCTGTGTGTATTTCAGTGCCAGAATCTGCAAAGGCTCCCAGTGTAGTGTCACACACCAGTCCAGGCTCACTGTCCCCCTGCTCTGCAGCTCCTTCCAGTCCCAGTGCTGCCAGCGCATCTGCACCAGCTGCTCCTGGTGCTGGAAACAATGCAAAGCTGTGGACATCTGTGGCCAACGGACAACCCACCTCCCCATCTCCTGGAAGCCAGGCCCTCCAGCAGCAACGATACATGTCCAGAGAGGTTCCTCCCAGGTTTCGCTGCCAGCAGGACCACAAGGTGCTACTGAAGAGGGGCCAGCCTCCCCTGTCCTCCATGCTGTTGGGAGGAGGTGGAACAGACGAGGCTGCAGCGGCCAGTGGCTGCAGTACACAAGGAGAAGATGCCCCCAATGCAAAAACAGCTGGAACCACAGGTACATCATCATCAGCTCTATAGAACATTGGAAACCTCAAGCGTATTATCCATGCTCTAGACTCAGTTTTTTTCTGGGACGAGTGGGGACCTGTCTCCTCCCCTCAGACACAGTGTAAAAAACTGACAACTGCAGTTTTATACAATTGAATTATTATTATTGCTATCTTACTTTCTTACTATCTTACATTTTATTCCCAAATCTGCGTAATTATAAAGTCTGAAGGGCTGTTAAAGTCAGTTTATAATCCCACTCAATAACTTAACTGTAATTTCCTGTGTTTTTTATATATACGAACATAGTATAACATGTTTTTGGAATGTTCCAAAAAGATGGTCTGGAGTCCTGATTTGTGTAAAGAATGTGTTTAATATACAGTAAACCCCTCCCTTGTATTGCTCCTCTCCATATAACTAATATATTATATTTGTTCTTTCTAGATTCCACTTTGAGTTCTTCTTCCCCTTCATCCCATAATTCATCATCTTCATGTGTGGCTACGTTTTCGTCTTCTATTACTACTCCTACTTCAACTTATGCAAGTTCCACATGGGGGGCAGGCTCTGGCAGCCAGTCCTCCTCTCAGGGCTGCGGGAGGGCGGATGGGACGGCTGTAACGGACTGGCCCAAAGGGTGTTCAGAGGCAGTCGGTGAAGGGACGCAGGAGCAAGATCATCGTGGTAACAATAACAACTGCAGTGCCTCATGGAGCGAGACAAACACCCAGCAGAAGGGAGGAGGGGACGCGAACTTGGACAATTCTTCGCCACCATCTCCTCTCTCCCCCGCAACCTCGCTTAACGAATGTGCTCAGTCGTGCGGTGTTGTGGCCTCTCAGGTGGAAGCGGGGCAAGGAGCTGCAGCTATTCAAAATTCCAAAGTCTCCCATCTTCAAGAGAGTCCCGGTGCCAATTGTAAACCCAGCTCGTCGGCCCGGCAACAGTCTGCTTCAGCTCGCGATGGCCTTCCTTTACACTCATCTGTGACTTCCTCATTTTCTGCCAGCAGCCAACTCATTACCACCAACTCATCTGCCAGTCAAGCAGGTGCCCATCAGCAGCAGCACACAGGAACAGCAGCAGGCGCCAGCAGTGGGGAGCAGCAGCAGCAGCACGCGACACAACGAGCAACAGAATCAGTTGATGCTGTTGGACCAAATAAAGAAATTGGTGAAGTTAAACCAAGTGAAGAAAGTACACTGTTGTCTTCCCCCACTGCAGCTGCTGCTTCCTCTTGGACGACAAGGTCCACGATGGAGGCGGGCGATCAAGGGAAAGAAGAACATTCTTGGAGTTTGGATGGCGGTTCCAATACCCAGGTGGTATCTCAGGGAGCACAGGTTGTATGTAGTCCAGATGGGGAGTGGGGCAGCACTGTGGGTGGGGGTGGTTCGGGTCACTTAGCAATAGGAAGCGTAAAAGTTGAGGACAGTAGCAGTAGTGGTGGCAGTGTTGCGACAGACTTCGCACCACCAAAGTTTGCATCTATGTCAAAGGCATGGGACAATCAGAAGGGGGCCGAGAATGACGAGGAAAGCGAGTGGGGTGGTGGTGGAAGCAAAGGGGATGGGTCTACAGTTGGGAGTGGTGGTGGAGGGCAGAAGACAGACATTACCGGACAACGTCAATCTCACCAGATCAATGCAGATGTGGCCTTACAGAGCATGCTCAATCGGTCAGACCTGGATCCCAGAGTCCTGTCCAACACAGGCTGGGGCCAGACCCAAATCCGACAGAATGTGGAATGGAACATTAATGCGGCAAGTCAAAATGATAAAAGCACTTCTTTGTCATCAGCAAATGTAAATTCTAGCACGAGTCGAGGAGCTAACAATCCGACGTCAAGTTCAGTCAGGGAAAATTGGGACAGCGGAAGGACCAGTAATGAAGTGGAGAGTGATGACCGAAAGTCTGAAGGAGGCTGGGGGGTACGAGGCACTGAAACCCAAGGCAAAAGATGGGGCAATGAGGAGCAGTGGGCTGATGGAAAAGCAAAAAGCAAAAATGGGGGTAAATGGGGAGAATTAGGAAAACAGGGTACAGGGTGGGACGACCATCCAGAAGATAAAGGGACCGGTGGATGGAAAAATGTGGGACAAGGAGGTGAGACAGGTGGGTGGGGTGGGGAATGGGGGCAGAGGGACTCTTCATCTGGAAGAGGGTGGAGTGATGGACAGAACAGAGAAAACATTTCTGAAGAAGGCTCATGGAATGAGGGTGGGTCTCATCGAGGGGGATGGGGAGGAGGTGGCGAGTTGGATGAAGGCAAATCTCTTCAAAACTGGGGCAATGCAAAACCCCATACAGCAACAGCACAGATACCAAACAGCCAAGTGGCGCCAATGAAACCCCAAAATCAACAGCACCAATCACAGGGCCAGCAACCAGGAGGACCCGTTCAAGGGGGGTGGGGCACCCGGCCCACGCCTGGAGAACCACCATCCAAAAATCCAAACCAAAGTGCAGGCTGGACGTCTGGTCCAATTCCCCAGATCCCAGGGGCCACAGGAGACTCCATGGAGCCCAGTGGTTGGGAGGAACCGTCCCCTCAGTCCATCAGTCGCAAAATGGATATTGATGATGGCACTTCAGCCTGGGGGGACCCCAATCGCTACAACAATAAGAATGTGAATCTGTGGGATAAAAACTCTGCTGCTGCTCAAAGTCATAGTCAGCAACCTCCTTCAATGTCCATACAACCAGCAGCCCAAAGAAGGCCGCAAGGGCCACAACATACAGGTAAGCCCTTAAACGATCAACATGGTTGATCTATTACCAAAAAAAATAATTACTGTATTTAAACTTGTATGTAAAAGTGCATGGTATTCATTCTTACTGATAATTTTTAGAATCATTGTAAAAAATCATGATCTCGATCAGACAAAAGTTGTGAAATGAGATTGAAAGTTAGCAGAAAGTGCCGGGAGCCATTAGCGGGCTACACAAACAACAAATCCATTAATTTTGAGTTTTTCATAGATTATTCATTGGATAGCAACATCAGTTGGTTACAGGCAGCCGTCATAAGCATCCTTAGACGTTACTATTTATTTGTTGTTGTGAATATTCAACAAAATGCTAACTCGGGCTTGACATCTTATTGTGTCATGCGTGTGAGATGATGTATCTTCAGTAAAAATAATGGCTTTTTTGGCCGGTTATCTAACCCTCTTCCACATTGGAACACTATAATAATTAATCGTCAACAATAAAAATACAAATGCATCAATAAAGTCTAAATATCAAAAGTATATTGTTTAAAAAAAAAAAAAAAAAAAAAGGGTTTCCCTTTTTTATAGCACACCCTTAATGCTACCATAATTTACTGACATTTGTGTTGACCATTTGCCCACAAATAATCATGCATCCCCTGCTCCATAGGGCCTGGTGTGTGGGGAGGAGGGGGGGACAACGGGAGTGGCAGTTGGGGCCACCAGGCGTCAGAGGCTGCCACAGGTTGGGGTGATTCAGATGAGTCCAGCAAACATTCAAGCTGGGGAAACCCTTCCTCCAGCTCTAAATCTGGTAAGACGGAAAAATGTCGGCATATGAGTTTTGGCATTGATGGCACCTTACCCAGCTTCCTTTTTTATCAATGCAGGTCCAAAGTCGATGGAGAACTGGGGAGAGAAAGGGGATAGCTCGATGGCAGCGTCGCGTCACTCCAGCTGGGAAGAGGATGATGACTGCACTGGGGGTGTGTGGAACAGTGGCTCACAGGGAAGCAGCTCCTCCTATAACTCCGGAGGGTGGGCTCCTGGAGGAAAGAGGGGCAATCTGAAGGTATGTACAGCACGTGTTTACCTGCTTTCCTTCAGTGATGACTCGCTTCTCTATGCATATCTAATAAACCAGAGTCTCTAAAAACACATTTTAATGAGCCTAGTCTGCACTTTCATAATCAATACATATTTTAACAATTTAGAAATGTATGAAATAAATACTTCTAAACTTCTTCTAAATTGTCTATAAACAAATGCAATCTCACTTTGTGTTTTTATTTTCTTCATAGGGAGGTGGAGGTGATAGCTGGATGAACCCAATGTCTCGTCAATTTTCAAATATGGGTCTTCTGGTAAGTTTTATTATTATAGTTTGAGGATCAATGGATTTTGAACATGCATTATAGTCTTTAGTCTGCTGATAACTATTGTACTTGTAAAGGAATAATGAAGGATATGGGACAACCACTAATGCTTAGTTTTATGTGTACTTTATAATCCAAATCCAAAATAAGTTTTATACTGAAGTAAATAATTTTGTATCCCTCCCGCACAAACCAGTGTGTATTAGGGGTGTGACGATATATCGATTTTTCGATATATCGCGATACTTTCTCCCGCGATTCGATTATCGATATGCATTTGCCAAGTATCGATTGATTTTGAAGAAAAAAAATATTGGTATCAATACTTAATACATGGCTACATTACGCATCTCCATTCTATTTATCATGAAATAAAGAGTATTTTTTTCTTTTATTTATGCCATAAATTGGCATATTATATATTTCTGACCAATAATTGTCATATTGTGATAAAATCTTTATCGTAATATCGTTATCGTGATATTATCGTTATCATGAGCTTTGTATCGTATCGTCAGGTACCCTTAGGTTCCCATCCCTAGTGTGTATAGTGGATGGAAGCTAAGACTCTGTTTACATATAAAAAGAAGGTTTAATGAATATAAGCAGAATACAGACAAATTACAGACTAACCTAGCCCGGGTCCCGCTAAGATGGAATAGCAGAATGACCCCGAACACACAAAGCAGCGACCCCTTTTAGAAATTAGAGTCACAAGACACACTTTAACAAACCATGCATCCACAGGACATTGTATGTAGTCTCATGACTCGGACGCTTCCGAGATGCAGATGGGGGTCCTAGTGTCTTTCTAAACGTCACGTTGGCCTTATGATTTAGAAAAGGGTCAGCAGTCTTAGACATCGAGTTCTGACATTGTCTCATCACATTCTATACATATGAAGATACATAAATATAATAGAAGTGTCAGGAATGAACCAGACAGATACGGATCGTGGTGCGCCAAACTCTGGAAGTTTATCAGGTTCCTCTCAAGTTCCAGTGGTTTCAGTTGTTTCTTTCCTTCTCAGAAAGAATAAAGGCAGTGTACAGTTTTTAGTCATTGTTACGTCACACATCGGAAGACGGTACGTGTCAATTCAGAGACACTCAAGAGCATATCATAGTCATAACATGGATACACAAACAAAGTCTGCGTAGTGTCTTGCGCTTGTCCTGCACGTAGGCCAAATAGCTATCTAATCCCCACAGAAGTTATAATAGCAGACACCACAATACATAGTATTTTCCCAATAAGGAAGATGTTTTAAGTATTGTTTCATTGAAGGGTGAGGATCCTAACATGGATAGGAAGATGGATGGTGAAAAAAGAGGCATGGGAGACTATAATGGAGACATCCGTCGAGGAGGTCGAGGTGGTGCAGGGCACCGCATGTCTGGCCCAAAAGACATTGGTGCTGTTGATATGGGGCCATATGGTGAAAAGGTATGTTTATTTAGCCTGTGTTTTTCTTTCGATTAGATTTTTTTATGGTATAGTTTACATTCTTTCTGTATATAATAACTGTTTTAATAACTTTTTCTCCCCCTCACAGATGGGGAGTCATGGAGTGTTGTCTGGCAGCAGTGGAGGGACACCGCAGCCTCGGGGGATGCACCAGCCTGGGATGCATCCCATTAACCCCACCCCAGGGTTACGGGCTCAAGTGCCTCATCAGTTCCTGTCTACTCAGGTCAGAGGACCTCACACTATTAGGTTATGGTGAATTATATATTTCACAAGTATCTTTTAAGTCAGAACATCAGCTTAAGAATCTTTGAGTGCGCCGCGCAAATTCTGTTCTGGTCCACTCTGGAGGCCGTTTCTCAACGCTTGCGTTGTCACCCTCCTGAAACATCGTCTTCATGTAAACAAAAGGCCAAACTGAGGCTGAGTTTACACGGAGACAATGTGGCAGTAAAACGGTATAGTTGGATGTCGGTTGCAACCAACCGTTCATACGAAGACTGTGTTTCAGGGGGGTGAAAACGTAAGTGTTCAGATCCAGCCTGCAGAGTGGGACAACTCAGAAACGCTGCACAGCGGGGGCTCTCTTTTACACCCGCGAGGGAAAAAGGTGTGAAATCGCCCTCTGCTCTGACCCCCGCCTCCGCGCTGCTCCCCGCACGTAAATTTGGACATGCGCAGTAGCGGAGAACAAAAAAAAACAAAAATGGCGCCGCGCGCACTAACTAGCTTCGTGGGCTTCCAGCGCTGCACAGAGGATAATTCTACTCCTTCGTTCGTCCAAATGAGACCACGCGAAGCTCTAGGGTCAGTTTCCATTTTCCCAGATGCTGTTGAAAGGCAGAATGATGTTGGTGCGTTCTGAGGGTCTGGCACAGGAAGTGAGTATACTGCCGAGAGGGGGGCTGGGCACGGGGCTGGGGGTCGTGTGAGTGTTGTAAAGTTTCTCTGCCCACTACTGGCCGGGCGCTAGAACTACATCGTTTTTCAACCTCATGTGAACGTTGAGAAATTTGCTTTAGGAGCCTGGTCGTTTCTGTTAATAGCCTGGAAACGTCTGCGCAGCGTCTCAGTATAAACAGGGCCTGATACTATAACGTTGCAGCGTCCTCGTGTAAACAGCACCTTGTAGTCAATTCTCTTCCGTGGGAATTCTCATCTCACTTCTTGCTAAAGACCGCAAACCATATGTACCTACAGAATGTGTCTTATCATTTTGGTTTGTGTGACGTGTAGGTGCCAGGTCCTATGCTGAAGCAGATGCCTTCTCCTGGTGGCAGTATGGGAGGAGTGGTCGGAGGAGTAGGAGGTGTTGGGGGAGTGGGAGGTGTTGGCGGAGGAGGAGTGTTCCCTCCTCAGATTTCTCCGCAGCAGCTAGCAATGCTCAGCAACATATACCCTCACATGCAGCAGTTCCATCTGGTAGGTGGCAATGGATGATTCATTAATGAATAGTTTTATTAGAATCAGAGCAGGTAGAAAAATCAATTACAAATGGTGAAAAATCATAGCATAGACTATTTTCAACTAATTGTATTAAGAGTTTGTCAAATATTCTTCAAATCAAGTTTCATATGGTTTGAACTATTCTCTAAACAAGCCTGAATTACAGGCGTGTCAGCTACTACTACAACATCAACAACAGCAGCCACCGCAGCAGCCAATGTTTCCGAATCAGAGGAAGTTTCCACAGCCTCAGCCTGTGAGGCCACAGTCAGACCCACAGCAGGTATTCACACGTTTAGTTTGTACATGCGAAGTGTTCTAAGAACCAGACATTAACTAAGAAAGCCCCTTTTTCAGCTGGCCAGAATTATGGCGATTCTCCAGCAACAAAGGCAACAGCAGCAAACGGGTGTGGGAGGGCAAGCACCTATCGGAGCAAACGCCAAACTGTCACCGTCTCATCTTGGAGGAAGTCTTTCCAAACAATCCATTGTAGACCCAATGCAACATCCTGGGATGGGTCCTATGTCAGATCTTCATGGCAAAAGTCAAGGCATGTACTCTGGTAAGATAATCACATAATACCTAACTAATATGTGATATTAATTATAGTCAGCTGAAAGGAGACATCAAAACCTAAATTTATGATGACAGAGAACTATTTTTTCCAATTTTATCTTCCTAGGAATGGAGCTCAGTTCTTTGATGGGTGGTATGAAGGACACTGGAGGACAGCAGTCTCGCTTCAAATGGATGATGGAAGGACACTCTCCTGTTCCCTCTTCTCCTGATCTCACACTCAACAAAAATGGTGTGTTAACTGACGGTATGTACTGTAACAATAGATGCACTTCTACTGTACTTTACATTTCAAGAAAACATTTATAAATGTCAGTTTAAAATCAAATATTGCAAGTGATCTCTTTGGTGCCCCCAGGTGGATGGGCTATGGTCCATAGCTTAGTTTAGCAGGGCCTTGAGCAAGTGGCTGTGGGTGGACTCTGGTCGGGTTCACATCTTATTTCAGTCTCTGCTGAATACCGCACACAGATATGTTCCTCCGCTACCGGCTCAAGCTTTTAACAATTTGCACCGCAGCACGAGAAGAGGCTTTCTTCAAAATGTTACATTTGATGTTGTCAGGTGGAAACAACTGGAAGACACAAGGAGTGTGGATGATTGTGTCTAATGCACAAGAGAAGGAAAAACCGTGTATTCACTAGAAAAAGAGCAGAAGCAGTGACTCGCAGACAGAGAGACTGGATCTAGAGGTTTAGTTCTCGGGACTTCTTCCTGCAGGTGCACCATTGACATGAGAACATATCTCTGAGTCCGGATTTTAAATCTGGGTTAGTCTCAGGTTGCCCATATGGCCAAATGCATGTCTCTATAGATAGACTTTGTGTGTAAACCTGACGGTGTTCATCTGAACCACAAACTGGACTGGACTCATAACACAGACGCCCTCGTCAAGAAGGGCCAGAGCCGGCTCTACCTGCTGAGGAGGCTCAGGTCTTTTGGAGTGCAGGGGCCACTCCTGAAGACCTTCTATGACTCTGTGGTGGCATCAGCCATCTTGTACGGTGTGGTCTGCTGGAACAGCAGCATCACAGAGAGGGACAGGAAGAAGCTGGACAAGGTCATCAGGAAGTCCAGCTCAGTCCTGGGCTGCTCCCTGGACACAGTGCAGCAGGTGGGGGACAGGAGGGTCCTAAGCAAACTAACATCTATGCTGGACCATGACTGTCACCCCCTGCAGGACACTCTCTGCTCTGGAGAGCAGCTTCAGTGACAGACTAATTCACCCTCGCTGTGTGAAGGAGAGGTTCCGTAGGTCTTTCCTTCCTGCTGCTGTCAGACTGTACAATAAGAACTGCTGAGCCTGTAAATTTCATTAATCTGTAAATAAGTAAATTCTTAAATCATGTGCAATGTGTAATACTGCAACTTCAGGATGTCGCAGAACAATGTCACTTTACCTTATGTCACTTTACTTATCTACTTATTATCCTGCACTATTTAACTGTACAGTATATAACTGCACTACTACTACATATATATTTTGACTGGTATTGAAGCATTTTCAGCATCTACAGCTAGTTATGTTAGCTAAGAAACATAGCTAATACTTATTTGTATATATTGTGTGTGCTCCCTGTGTGCTCTTACTACTGTCCTGTCTGTGCGCTGCAACATCGAAATGTCCCTACTGTGGGACGAATAAAGGAATTCTTATCTTATCTTCAATACTCTTAACCGTGTTAATGTTTAGGTCCTTTACCTGGAGGTATGAAGATCAGAGGTGGTTCTCCATACTCTCATTATGACATGTTGGCTGGTGATGCTTTGGGAATTCCTCCTCAAGTTTCTGCTGACAACTGGCACCGCACACCAGGAAGTAAACTGAGCCACAAAGCAGCCACATCCAGCTGGCCTCCAGGTCTGTTAACTTTTGTCTTGAGAAACGCTTGAAAAGATAATTCATCCTTAAAGCATGATTTTGTCTGTAGAGTTTCAGCCAGGCGTTCCATGGAAGGGAATTCAGAGCAGTGGAGACCCAGAATCTGACCCCTACATGACCCCTGGTGGAAGTGTTCTTGGCTCTCCTGGACCTCCAGGACTCAACGACTCCGATCATCAGTTGCTGAGAGACAACATAGGTACTTTATCTTCTTCTCACTCCTACGACTATGTATTCCATTTGAGTGTTTCACAATCTTCTGTGTGCAGGGCCAAACCCCTCCCTCAACACCTCGCTGCCTTCACCAGGTGCCTGGCCCTACAGTGCCTCAGAAAGCCCCCTTAGCAATGCACACAGTACAGGTACCAATGTGTTGTTGACATCTTCCCTGTTTGGACTGTGGTGCAGAAGACTTATTTCCCCCTTTTCTCCCCCACCCAATTTCCTTTTCAGGAAAGTACTCTGAGTACAAACCCAGCTGGCCTCCTGAACCCATCGGACAAAACAAGATGTGGAAGACCAATCGCAACAGCTCCCAGCCACCACGCCCCCCTCCTGGTTTGACTAATCAAAAGCAGGCCACTCCCTCCCCTTGGGGATCTGGGGGCCCTCGGTTGGCCCGTGGTTGGGGAGGGGGTGGGGTTAACCAAGAGTCGAGATTTGGGCAAGGTGCGGCTTGTGTTCAATAACTTAACTATATTTCATTTTACCACAACATAATCAAAATTCCCTTCTTTCTTTTGTGGTGATTTCAGCTTGGAGTGACGGTACAGCCTGTCGGAGCAGCTGTTGGTTGCTGCTTAGCAATCTGACTCCACAGGTAAAAAGCTAATTATGAAATGATTGTGGGACCTGGGATGACTACAATTGTTTGATCTGATTATAATAGTTTGGGTTTTTTGGGTAATTGTTTTTTGCTACATAAACATACACATGTTTTTCTTTTCTAAGTTCATACCAGTCAAGGCAACACCATCTTCACGAGACGAGCTGTTGCAGGAGCCATTCCATAGTACACAAATTATAAGTTTTTCTATTTTGTCACCAGATTGATGGCTCCACATTGAGGACTATATGCATGCAGCATGGCCCCTTGCTGACCTTCCACCTCGGTCTCACCCAGGGCAGTGCTCTGATTCGCTACAGCAGCCGTCAGGAAGCAGCCAAGGCCCAGGGTGCACTCCACATGTACGTGAACTTGTGTCTTTTTGGGTGTTTGTGTTTTGATAGATTCTTTGTAGCCAGCTTAGATAAAAAATAAAGTATTGTTTAACCTGCTTTGATCTCCAGTGTTACTCTCCAGTGTCCACTTGTAACTCTAATTATTATTTGTATTATTATTTTATAGGTGTGTCCTTGGCAACACCACAATCTTGGCAGAGTTTGTCAGTGAGGAAGAAGTTGCTCGCTATTTTGCACATTCCCAGGCTGGCGGAGAATGTACCAGCCCAGGGACAGTAGTAGCAAGTGGGGCCCAAAGTTCTTCTGGAGCTGGTGTTGCTGTGGGCAGTAGTGGAGGCAGTTCCCCCGGCAGTGAGCGTGCTTCAGGGGGCACAGCCTCCAGTGAAAACAGTGGAGGAGTAGGGGACGGCGGAGCAGGTGTTCCCGGTGTGAGAGCCTCCTCTTCCAGCTGGCAGAAACTGGATGGTACTGGCACTTCTTCTGAGACAATTTCACAAGGATCTGGACTGGGAATATTCTCCCAATGGAGCACCAACGGGGCTGGAGAGGGAGCCGCTATTGGTGGAGTGGAGTCTGGAAGGTCTGGGCTGTGGGGCGGCATGACGGCGGGTTATCCCAGCAGCAGTCTATGGGGGGCACCACAGATGGAGGAGCGACACCAAATGGACAGTCCTGCAGCACTGTTGCCTGGCGACCTGTTGGGTGGAGGGGCTGATTCCATCTGACCAGCCCTGTTCATTGCACCATGTGATGTAGAATTGATTAGCATACACTGGGTTACATATGTACTTTAGCACACTTACACATTGACATGTATGCATAATATTGTAGTGCACATACAAAGACACAGACATACTTAAACAAGGTATGACTATCATTGTGCACACGCAAAGCAGAAATGTGAGACTTGCTTACACATTCTTGTGGCCAGACTTAAGCTATATTATAAATTGCAGGGACTGTTAGATGTGTATCAGCCTTTTTCAACAGATGAAGATTTCAACTGTTAAGACTTGAAACCTGAAAACTAATGAAAAGTCAGTTGGTCTGAAAGACTTGAATGGATTATAATAGATGGTGGACTCGTCGACAGATTTACATCAACATGCACACACCAAATACAGACAAGCCTTCAGACAGACAGCACTAAACAGCATTACCCTCATTGTGTACAATTTCAAACTACATAATGTGATGTTTAAGTGCAGTTTGTATTTATATCTCTGTAAAGAATGAGACCGAATCCAAACACATGCAAAGAGTTCTGCCTGACATCAGAACTGTATCTTACTGTGTATGTTAATTTTCAGTTATGTATGGCTTTAATTTGAACGTGAAAATATGGAAAATCATTGTATTTTGTTTTCAAAATGCTGACCTCTTACTGTCTTATCTCACGCACTCTATATTATTCTCTTAATGTTTGTTACTGTTGCAGTGATAAATGTTAATTGCAGGCAGTTGTTTTGAGTTGAAGCTACGTTGCATTTCTCCATGTGCTGATGGCGACCACAGCATCGCACACCTTTTTGAACATTACGTATGAGTGCGGCGTTGAGACCAAGTAGGTGGACATGAACCACCAGTTTGTGTGTGAATGTATGTTGTATGCATGTTTCTGCCTGTGGGCAAGGCTGCTTACTATACAGAAGGTCTATACAAAATGTTTGAGTGCATTTGATATATACTGCTGACTGTGTTGAGAATTATTGGCACTAATGCTTTGTTTCTTTCCTTTGAAATTGATTTTTTTTTATTAGCAGATATCTTTTTTATTGTCTGATCTGCAATAATAAAAAAGAACATTTTATGATACAAAGAGCTGAAGGCATAGAGTTGAAAATGGACATGCCAAATCTTATCAAACTGTGTTGGATGGGTGGGGAGGGGGGGTTGTTTACAGATGCATAAGAGTTACCGTACGTTTTTAATGTTCCGTTGTGTATTCATTTTAAATTAAGACAGGCTTTAACACTCCTGTTCAGTGTTTTTCTTTTGAGATTTTACAAAGTAAATTTTATTTAAACATGAGAACAAGATTAATAAAGATGAAAGTATTGGCATTAAGTTTTCTTGGTTTTAATAATATCAGATTTGTAACTTTTCTGTAGGTTACTTAGAACCAAATTATGTTTTTGCTAAAGACATTACCGCCTGTAACTGGATTACTTGACTTAAAGAGGGTGTGGTAAATACTCCAAGAATGTTCTGAATGAATTTGACCCAAACTGTATTCACAAAAACTATTTATTGGCAAAGGACTGAAGTATTTTGCTATTCATAATTTCAATTTTAACCTGTGAATTGAGAGTTTGATCTGGCTTTGATTACCTTATTGGCAACCAATCATAATAGCTACAGCTAATCCCCAAACTCTAAACTCTTAAGCTATTTTGCTCTGTATCATTGCAGCTGTATTCACATAATATAATGATTTACTCATGTAAAATGTAGTCAACTAAAAAACCATTGACAATATTGACGGCCCTAAAATTGTTTTCATTTCATTACCCTTATCAGCGACCTGTATTTCATTGCCCACATATCTTTTCAATACTTCTCATGAAAGGAACCTCATTTCCCTTTTGCTATTTCCTCCACATTTGTTGACGGCCTAATTAACACTACAATAGGCCTATAAGGGAGGTCTGCAAGACTTTCAGAAACAAAAAGATATTTACAAAATGATACCGTCTTGATGAATGTGATGCAATCAGGAATAGGTTGCTTTCATATTGTCGAATAGATCAGTGTTCCCCCAACCATCTAGAATCTTGGCACACCTTTTTGAATAAAACAATCACATGGCACACCACCAACTGAAACTCATACAAACATGAACCTCTGCAGCCTTTAGTAACGCTGCAAAGGCATTCTAATCCAATTGTAGTATATACAGTAGAAAATCAATCATACAAGTGAAAAAGTCTTTCTAATCTTCTCACATTACTTTCTTTTCATGCAATTTTAATCAAGAAGGTCACGTTGGATCCAAAGGCACTCCAAACAACATCTCACAAAATACTGAATGAGATTTCATATAATATGTCAATGTCATGCACAGTTTTATTTTTATTCTTGTCATCAGTCACCACTGTAGTTGATCTGCACTGAGTTGTTTTTGTTTCATGTTTCATTGGACACAGGAAAAATGAGTTCTAAACCATAGACTAAGGCACGTCAAACTGCAGGCTTTTAGTTGGCCCTATAATTATTCTAAATTATTAGGTTAATTATTTTAAAGTTTAATTTATTCTAAATTCTAACCCAACACATAATTAGAAGTTAAATAGTTACATATAAAGAAATGTGTTTGACTTTATATATGGTCCAGATTCGGAAGAAAAAAAAAACCAACCAGAAAAAATAGTGAAACACATGTCACATAAAAGCAATGTCCAAATCATATTGTAAATAATGTAAAATCCCTGCTATTCTTTCGGCCCAGCCAGCTCCTACTTCTTTTATTCGGCCCCTGACCAAAATTAGTTTGACACCCCTGCTCTAAACTTAAGACTACTTTTTCAGTTTCCTGTAAAGATTTCTCAACTGCCCTCCATCACAATTTTAAACTAGATTATTTGGAATGTTGTGATGTCACATGAACGCAACCTACTGCATTATTACCATTGCACTGTATGGAATGCACTTGATTTTTGTGTTTCCTGATTTAAGTAAAAAAAAAAGAAAAACAACTTGTGCTTTTGTGGGTAGTGTCCTGTGACGTGGTCCTAACATGACATCATGCTGGGTAGGGAGTGTGGTTGAGTAACGTGAGGGGCAGACAGACTGGAGCACGGCCGCGATCTACCGGAGCTTCTCAGGGATTATCAACAGGGAGCGCAGCCGACGACAGAGCGCTGAGCTGGGGGAATGAGAGCCGCCAGAATCCGCTCCCATCCTCTTTTACCCAGGTTCCTATCCGACTGACAACCATCGGATCACAACCTCCAAGGATACAGCTTCCCATCGAGCCCTTTATTGGGTGAGTAGCTTTTCTGGGAACCGTAGAAACCAGGGGGGAAAAGCGGCCTGATGCGTCCGAATCCGAGGCTGGTATTCTCGGCTCACAGGAGAGGGGGAGGGGGCCTTCAGTTAGACGGCTCCGTACGCAGGCTGATTCTACACACTTATGGGTGCGGTTAAAAAAACACAAAACAACATAGTATGACAACGCTTTTTGGACATTAAATACGGTTTTTGCTAATATTTGTGTGGTGCAGGAGCCGTAGCGTTGCGTACGGATCACGGGTCCTTGCTAACAGGAGTAACGGAGATGCGTTGTCCTCACATTCTTTACAGTTTGTGTTGTTTTGACTTTTTCACACGTATTATTATCACAAGTTTGTACAATTCTGTGCCATATACTCTAAATATAGCGAGGACACTTAGTCGAAATTGTTCCCTGCACTGTTACTTATGCTTGGTTGCATTTAATGGGAGTAGCACCGTATTTGGTTAGCGTACAACATGCCTGAAAATGCATTGCTTGTATTAAATCTGAAAATCTGAAAAATGACACTGAATGGATCATAATGTATTTTTAAGGTTGTTTTTGATCGTTTCTGTGCATGAGCAGATCTCCAGCCGTCACTGAGATGCAGCAGTACACTACTTCCCATGGGCACGTGACTGAGCCATAAAGTCCGCGTTTGTCCTTTCTATTTATCATTTATATTTGACTTATGTTTGATATAACACTGATGGATTTGTGTTAAAATACCTTGACACGTTTTAAATTGGTCTCCTTGATACTGCTTGGGTTCTATGGCTTTTTTTTAACATATGGGTTCTGTTTTTATGGCATCGTGTAGCTGTCATATCCTATACTTGTCTAATAGATGCTTTAATAACAATCATAGTAATGCTAATACAATAATGGTTCTAAACAGCAGCATAACTGACACTTTGTATAGTTGAGATGTCAAAGGCCAGTCTAGGGGACTCCCATATTGTTGTCACTGTACTAAATACCATTCCAATTATCAAAATGCAGATTTCGATACCCCAATGATAATCTACAATGTTTTTTTTAGACGCTGCCAGTTTTAACATAAATAACTTGCATACCTTTTTTACTGGTACCACAAGGTTTTAAACTTAAGCTGCCAGATTTAACATAAATAGCATACATACTGGTACCTCAATGTTTTATACAGACAAGGTTCTGGGGTCTAAATCATTGATTAGCTTAGTCCTGGAGTAATAATTTAGATACTAGTTCTAGATGTTTGATACTTTTGATGACCTTACTTGCATGAATATAATGTTAATTTGTATTGTATATTGCTTTTTCTATGGTTGAGATTGTGTCATTTGCTGCAGTTGTTTATGGTGAGTAAAAGTATCAGGTGACTCTTCTCCATAATATTGGAAGTGTGAGGATGCTTTATTTTACATGGCACAGACGCCATGGGACCACTGCTGGTTTTCTGCACATGGTAATGCTTTTAAGTAGCTCTGTCGTCATGATACTGATATTAACCTACAGTTTAAGAGACAGAACATTTGATTGTGAGGCTCAGTATGTAATAGTTTTCTTTACATTGGAGACAAAGTAGAAACGCAACGAATCACCTGAGATTGGGGAAATGCATCAATACTAGTGCGATTCTAAATTTTCATATTTGTTGATACTACGGGCTGTCATTTGACCATTGTATTTTTTACTGTTATTTTGTGAGATTTGTAGGAAAGGAGACCACACATATAGCACAGATTATGCTTTAACATAATTTATTCTTGCAGAGAAAAATCAGGTCCAGGTACTCATCATTTGCAAAAGTAGATGGCTTTATTTATGGGCCAGAAACATTAAAAAGCACACCAACGCGTGTCGGCTTGCGCCTTCGTCAGGGTGTGTGTAGAGACAAACAGTAAACCAATTTATAATGTCTGACTGCAGGTGTGCAGCCAGGACATTGAGACACATGCTGTCATAGTCCTTTTGGACACAAGGGGGAGACATTTCGTCTTCACAGTATAGTGGCAACAAGAAAAAACATAGACAAACAAAATTATTATAAAAAACAAGAGAGGTCCAGATCATCATTCAGGCCAGGGTATTTTGTAGCACCAAGAGCATGGATCCAATATGCTTCTCTTTGCCTTAGGCGTAAGATTTTATCACCACCCCTGGCATTTAGAGTGATAACCTCAATTCCTGACACCTTTAGGGTGGAGTCATGGCTATGATGGACATCCATATAATGTCTGGCCATAGGATAATTTGGGTTATTGGAGCGAATGGCATATCTGTGTTCAGCCACTCTATCCCTCAGCCTCCTTTTAGTGAGGCCCACGTAGAAGCACCCACAGGGACATTCAAGGCGATACACTACATGGGTGGTGTTACAGTTGACAAAACCATTTATAGAATACATCCTATTAGAAGCCAGATCCATAAAAGTGTCAGTCTTCACCATGTTCTCACAGTATCTACAATGGCCACAGCAAAAGTTCCCTTTTGGGCGGGAGAGCCATGTGGTGGGTTTAGTAGATGGGAGATAGCTCCTCACAAGCTTATCTTTAATGGTTGGGGCTCTTCTGAAGCAGACTCCTGGAGGCTCAGGGAAAACCTTTCTCAAAAGAGGATCACTCACAATAATATCCCAGTTTCTTTGTATAATTCGTTTAACATGGGTAGCCTCTTTACTGTAACTTGTGACAAAAAAGGGCTTCTGCGTTTGCTCCTGTCTAGGTTTAGGAGTGAGCAAGTCAGTCCTCTTCAATGACAAGGCTCTAGTATGAGCTTGAGACAGCAGCTCCTGAGAATATCCCCTTTGGGTGAAACGTGCTCGCATGTCAATAGACTGACTGACGAAATCTTGGTCAGAGTCACATATGCGTCTAAGTCTTTGTATCTGACCGTTAGGGATATTTTCAATTAACCAAGGAGGATGGAAACTCTCTGCATGCAAAATTGTATTGCGGTCTGTTGGTTTACGAAATATTGACGTATGTAGGTTACCATGGTCATCTTTAGTAATATTTAGATCAAGAAAATGTACACTCTTACTGTCATATTCCAAATTTAGTTTAAGGTTGGCATTGAGACTGTTAACATAAAGATGGAAAGCCTTCAGTTCACTTTCTGACCCTGAAAAGAAAAGGATAACATCGTCAATATATCTGCCCCACCATAAAATCTTGTCCTTAAAGGGATTGTGATCAGAGTATATGTACATTTCTTCCCAAAGGCCTAAAAACAAGTTTGCATAATTTGGTGCAAAACATGCACCCATAGCCGTCTCTTTCTCTTGCTTGTACAATTTATCTTCAAACAGAAATACATTATTCTTTAGCGTCCACTCAGTTAGCTGTATTATAAAATCTGTGGGGGGCATTTGATCAATGTCTCTACTGCCTAGGTAGTGTCTTAAGGCCACTAGTCCTTCCTCATGAACAATATTACTATAAAGAGATTCAAAGTCCATTGTGGCCATAATACTGGGGCCAATATTTACCATTTGCATGATCTGTTGGAGCACTTGGGTGCTGTCCTGAAGATAAGATGGCAATTGTGAAACAAAAGGTTTTATAAAGTAGTCCACAAACTTAGAAGCAGGTTCCGTGATAGAATCATTCCCGCTAATTATTGGGCGGCCTGGTGGGTTTAACATGTTTTTGTGGACTTTTGGAAGCATGTAAAAACAAGGGAAACGTGGCCTCTCACAAATTAGAAAATCATATTCTTTATTAGAAATCCAGTGTTGGTCTTTAGCCACATCTAGAAGTTCTAACAGTTCAGTTTTCATTTTGTCCATTGGGTTTGAAGAAGGCATAGAATAATAGTCTGTGTTGGATAACTGACGTAGAGCCTCTGTTTTGTATTTTTCTTTTCCCCATACACAAACTGCACCTCCTTTATCTGCACTTTTTATGATTATATCATTTCTCTCAGATAACCATTCAAGTGCATTGTGTTCTTTTTTAGTCAGATTATATTTTCTTGTCTTTTTAGGACCCTTAAATATTTGATCTATCTCATAAGACACTTTCTTTGTGAAAGTGGCTAGTGTGGGGTTGTTTACACAAGGGAGAAAGGTAGATTTAGGCCTAAAATGGGAGTAGTCTTTGTTAGAACCATTCTCATTACTGGTAGAGTGGGTCGTTGTACTATAGGGGTTTTGATAATACCAGACTTTTAAATGCAAATTCCTATAGAAACGAAAGAGATCCACCTTTGTGTCAAATTCTCTACCTGAGTAATTAGGAGAAAATGAGAGACCCTTACTTAGAACAGATATACAGTCACTTGAAAGAGGGACATCTGAAATGTTGATTACTGCCGATTCTGCGACTGACTCCTGGTGGCCGGACGTGGGAAGTATCTTCCCTCTCCCCCTCCGGCTCCTTTCGTCGTTCTATTGCCTCCTTCCATGAGCACCATCTTTTTGCTGGATACCAGAAGCTCCCTGTTCTAATTTCTGTTAAATAATTTATTCTTGCTTGGGTTCTTTTAATACCACTTTTATTTATAGAAAATCATTATATTCTTGCACAGACGGGAACAAACACTTATATGATTTAAGTAAAATTGTCGAAGGCAAATGAAGAGTGGTACGTCCTCCTTCAGCCTCATCCTCTATTTTAATATGTCAATAATTAAGATTGAAAGTTGAGATTGCAATCATTTAACCTTAAATTTGTTGGCACAGCCCTAGTTACAGCTCCGAGATGATTTGAGGCCACAAATATTGTTGTCTACTGAGATTATTCTGCTTTAGCTGTCGTGTGATAAGCACAGAGGTAAATCACACTTCAAGATTTATGTTGGCCTAATTCTTTTATCTGCCACAAAAGAGAATGTTAAAGGGACCATAAGAATATAGCAGTACATTCCGGTAAACAGTGTATTATTATTTTGAAACTACTTTGGCCATGCTAGGATTATAGCAGTAGAATCAAGTCAAAATCATAACATGGTCTGTATGTCAGCAGTTATCTATAAAAGTGACGTATTCAACCTTCTTCAGCTAAAATGAGACAAATCCTCCATAGGTCTAAATCTTGAGCGCTTGTATAGTGAGGACTCTCAGTTTACTGTACAATCTATAGTAGTTCATGTTTTATTCTTTTGGCATCTTTTATCTTGAGTTATTCACAGTTCTCAGCCACAGCTGCACTGACTGTACATTTCTTTTCTTGCTGAAGTCCAGTGCTCACAGTTTCCTGACACAGATGAAGGCGTTTGTGGGCTGCTCATGCTTGAACAGAGACGCTGACCACAAACTCAGGCGATGGAAGAGTCAGCGAGTTTCTCTGTCACGTGCAAGCATTTCCTTTGGTTAACTCCTTATTGAGTTTTAATAGAAGTTTTTCTTGCTGGCTCCACCCCACTTCTGAATACAAGTTTAGGTTGAACAGATGTGACTTTGTCATTTAGACTTGGCTGGAAGTTTATATTGTTGCCAGCTTTTTATGATGACATCACACTTTTGTAATCATAATTATTATTTTTCATTTTTAGTGACTTCTTTCCACAATGGAGCTGAGAGTGGGGAACAAGTATCGGCTTGGCCGGAAGATAGGAAGTGGCTCTTTTGGAGACATTTATCTTGGTAAGTGATTTAGTACATTTAACCAACTCCTCTTGCATCATGGATCTACAAAGCATAAATAATATATTTATATATTATGACCAGGCACAATGTGTGGAAGAGTGTAGCTCCTCTCACAAGTCTTATCTTCATCACTGTAGTCACTGTTACTAAATATACATAACGTAAAGCATATTCTGGCAAAAACTATCATAACTAAAGCCAAGAGAAGGTGCTGCTTGAATCCCAGACTTGAACCAGAAAAACCAACATCTGAATTGAATGTGTCTAATATCTCTGACTCCTCTGACCGTAGGTGCCAACATCGCCACCGGTGAAGAAGTCGCCATCAAGCTGGAGTGTGTGAAGACCAAACATCCGCAGTTACACATTGAAAGCAAATTCTATAAGATGATGCAAGGAGGAGGTATGGATCTGTGGACAAAATCTATGTTACTCAAGATTAGCGTCTTAAAACTAGATAATTGTGTTTTTGTGCAATGTCTCATACTGAGACTATTGCAGTGGCAGCTATACTTAAATCATTGAATTTAACTTTATTGAAAACGGTATCCATTAAAGACAGACGGATTACTAAGTCTACTACCAGCATATTTTATTTTGTAGGTCTAAACCATAAACCATTGTTATCGCCACCCCTCCCAGCCATGTTGCACATCACAATAGTTTCCAGTAGACCTAACGTGCCTTTTTGATCCATTTTAGTGGGAATTCCTTCGATAAAGTGGTGCGGGGCTGAAGGAGACTACAATGTGATGGTGATGGAGCTGCTGGGTCCGAGTCTCGAAGACCTGTTCAACTTTTGTTCCAGGAAGTTCAGCCTCAAGACCGTGCTGCTGTTGGCTGACCAGATGGTACAACTCGTTTATTGGAAAAACTATTGGACAATTGCCTGTTGTCAATCAATAACATTGGCACTTGTTTTAAATCCTTGAACAATACTGGCAGTTTACTTTGTCTATTTATTCTGTCCATATCCTTTTGCTTAATGCATAAACAGTCTGTCACAGACTGCAAATCTGAAACCCCCCATTACTACTTTGCATATAGTGCAATGTAAGGGAGCATGGCTTATGTATTTTTGTATGATTATTGTTCCACCTCGTTTAGCTGTCTTTGTAACGTGTGCTGCCACACTGATTTTCCCCATTGTGGGGTAAATAAAGGCTCTTATCTTTTACCGTATACACCTCATTACACAGTGGAACTTTCCTCAATTTACCGTTATGGATAGTTTGTAAATCTAAGACGGTACTTGCATGGCCAGGATAAAGAGAAGCACTGTGGCTTTGCATTGTATTTAAGTTATTTACAAGTGCACATGCTCGACCACACCATTGAAGATTTATACTACATTTCTTAATTAGTGGAGTCATATGTTTGACCCACTTGTCTTTGACATTTCCTTAGTTCATAGTTGCACATAAACATGGTTCAAGACTCTGGAGCCTGAGGCTTTTAGAGCCTTGTGTATCTTGAGTTTGTGATGCAGTCCTCTCATGCATAACCGTTAGCTACAACATTATTTAAAGCTTACCTCTTTTAGGCTTTATTCATGAAGATTCTTTTTTCCTTTCACTTAGATAAGTCGGATTGAGTACATCCACTCCAAAAACTTCATCCATCGGGACGTAAAGCCGGATAACTTCCTCATGGGGCTTGGAAAGAAAGGAAACCTGGTTTATATTATTGACTTTGGGTTGGCCAAGAAGTACCGTGATGCAAGGACGCACCAGCACATCCCATACAGGGAGAACAAGAACTTGACCGGAACAGCTCGCTATGCCTCCATCAACACACATTTAGGCATCGGTAAGTTTCACACTTATATTCTGTGTACATATAATCAATGATCAAAGTATTGCTACATGATCTGCTGAATCAACCTGGCTTCCTGCAAACGTTTACGCCATGTAATTCAAACATTCTTTTCGTGTTCATCCACGTTCTTGTATTTAGTGGTGATTTATCCATGTGGTTAAACCAGAGCTTCACCTTTCCTATTTGGACTTATTTAGTGAAAAACACTTCTTTTTACAAGTCCTGGTTCCACAGAACAACACCTGAAACATTCCATTGTATCACAAAATGAAGGCTATACTTCTGAGCATTGTCCATGAGGATATACAGTATCTAACTCATGAACGGCCAATGTGAAAACATTTCCATTGAAACAAGGCAGAGGTATTTCCTCCAGGTCTGGTTTGTGGAGAGGCAAGCCCATTGACAGTTTGCCTTTGTTTCACTTAAGTATAAAACCCAATTGATTGTCATCCTATTTTCTAAATATCCCTGGTGTTCAAAGCTGTGCAATTGGGCTACTTCCTTCTTGGAAAGTGTAACTTCATGTTTTTACTCCTTTTAACCTTTAAATCAGTCGTATTGAACTTATAAAAGCATCTGTGGCAGGGGAAGCTGCCAGTGTCCACAGATGCTTTGCTGTTGTATTTGATGTTTCTTTCTCACACACCTCTGTACCGTCTTCTACAGAGCAGTCGCGGCGCGATGACTTGGAGTCTCTGGGCTATGTGCTCATGTACTTCAATCTGGGCTCGCTGCCATGGCAAGGGCTCAAGGCTGCTACCAAGAGACAGAAGTACGAGCGAATCAGCGAGAAGAAAATGTCCACACCCATCGAGGTCTTGTGCAAAGGATACCCCTGTAAGTGATCGCTTTCTGATGAAGCTTAAGGTGGTGCCCAAAGGCCCAGAGGTCTAATGGTGCTTTCAGACCGGCAACGCTGAAACGCACATTCTAGTTTTCAGAAGCAGGGGTCTTCAGACCAGAGGTCCTGGCGCGTGCCGGAAGTAGCCGGCGGGCTCTGATGCTAACAGAGTTTAGATAGCGGCTTCTTGTGTACAGATCTTCTCCAATCATGCAGCTTTGCGGCGTGTCTGTTCAGAGACCTTCCACAGACTTTATATAACAGTAGATTGTGTTCACGGAGGTGCGCAATACGTTAATTTTAATATTAAACGATACTTCTGCATCGGCAAACACACTTGAAGCAGTTGCGTAAAGTCACGGGAGCATGAAATCATGTTAACAAGCACACAGTCCCCCATTGTCAACCCTGGTTTAGTCCTGATGTAGCTCCTGTTTTGGCTTACGAGTATTTTCAGTCTGCTCGCTCAGACCGCTAATGTCCCCGTGACCACTTTGCGGCTCTCTGATTGGTTGTTGCACGAACGTCCCGAGGAAAGGTTGAGCAAAATCCATCTCCTGCGCTCCTCCCTCTTCGACTTCCGTGCGTGCATTCCGAGACGTTCATGCATTCCAAGACGTTCGTGCGTTTTGACGCTCGAACGCGCGTCACCATTGACTGCATTGAAAGCCGACGCAACGCATGATCCGGTCTGAACGCGGCATTATGCAACATTGACAGATTTTCTGTACAGAGCAGTGGACCTTTGCTTTATTCCTGATCTTATGTTATTCTTTTCTTACAGCTGAGTTTTCAACCTACCTGAACTTTTGCCGCTCACTTCGTTTTGATGACAAGCCCGACTACTCGTACCTACGGCAACTTTTTAGAAACCTTTTTCACAGACAAGGTTTCTCTTATGACTACGTTTTTGACTGGAACATGCTCAAATTTGTAAGTTTTGTAAACTCCACAATGTGGTTTTTATGCAATCTGTAGAACATTCACTGCAATAATGCTGGGTCATGCTCGCAGGGCGCAAGCCGAACAGCAGAAGACGGAGAGCGGGACAGGCGGACGGGAGAGGAGCGGGATGAGCGCATTGGGGGAGCCCCCAGAGGGTCTGCAGCCCGAGGCATCCCTCCAGGTCCAAACCCCGGAGCTGCCAACAGAGTCCGGAACGGTCAGGAGCAAGCCATGTCTAACCCTGCCTCCCGCGTCCAGCAGTCTGGTGAGTTTTTATCGCCATTGCTGATGTAGAGAAATGTTAGCTTGATTTGTTTTCTTTCATACATCTTTAAATGCAACATATAGGGAACTCATCACCACGTGCAATTTCTCGTGCAGAGAGGGAGAGGAAGGTGAGCATGCGTCTACACCGAGGCGCTCCCGCCAATGTCTCGTCATCCGATCTCACGGCTCGCCACGACCAGTCCAGAATCTCCACATCACAGGTAAATGGTGACATCTCTCATCTCTAAATCACTTTGCTCCACACCAAACCCTGACTGTTTTTTAAAGTTCCTAAGATTCTGACAATCACAACCAATTGTTTCCTTTTTTCTTGTCTTTTTTTACCAGTAAAGAGAATGCATCCATTTTAAATACAATGACTTAATCTATGTTGCTGAACCAATGTTTTTTTGATTAACAATTAATGTTACTGTTTCTAGGTCAGCGTGCCGTTTGATCACATGGGAAAGTGAGGCCCTAAGACCACTGCTAACATTCAGGTAACGTTCTTTAATCGTTGAAAAACAAAAGTGTCCTTTTCATTGTTAATAAACATTTTGACGTCTGTTTACAGGGCTAAGAGATCTGCTCTAGGCTCCAGTTTGTGTTTTTACCTTCCTCTGCAAGACTGATGCCATGGACTTGTAAAGAAAAAAAAGAACAATAAGTCCAAATGATCCACACACAAAAAATCCACTTTTTACTGTTGAAGCGAGGATCGCCACAATTCGGAAAGGCAAAATGTCCGACATTGCATCTTTATTATCTACGGGTTCCTTTCCACATTCCCACGGTGTTAAATGTGAAGAACTGTTCATTTCTGTTTAGCGCTACATGAGTCGGTGTTTGAGAGCAGCAGCAGCTACAAAGTGGATCTAGGTATGTGAAAAGTTAGGACGTCAAGAAAAGGTGAAATAGTGGGATAGGCAAGTTTCAAAGCTGTTGTACAGTTATTCTTTGTTTCCTACCACATGGCTTGGTTTGTATATTATTTAAAGTTTACCCAAATCCCCCAGCTCCCCTGCTTTTTACTTGTTTAAATTTGGGTAAACTGAAGAATTGACCATAGATATTGCAATGATGCACTCTTGAGGGTTCACCACCTCAGGAAACTTTAGGTCGACCATAGCTGTGTATTCCAGCTAATACTCAAAGCTGCATTTTTTTCTGATTGTTCTTAATCTTACCATTTTATATTTTGGGGTTAATTATAATTATACAGGACTGGTGGGCAGACTCATTAAGCAAAAGAGGTATTTTTCTTTTTTTAAATGTTTACTGTAAATATTTTTTTAATTTGTGGAAAGCCAAAATTGTGGTTTTTGTTTTATGGGGAAAAATGTTGAAATTGGGTCAGATTCTAAAACTATGGGATAGGATTCTTTTACCATGCCACCTGGGTCCCTTTGTATGTGAGACTGAGTACAATGAATCCCTGCATACATATTCATTCTCTTGTTCTGTTCCTATGTTTTTTACATTTGATTTGTGTCATGACATGCAACACTGGGGTATCGCCTCTAGTAAAACTGTTGTGATATAAACTTTTGGATTTCACTTTTTTATTTCACTAAAATTGTCATGCACGTGTGGCAGGGATATGTAAATAGCCATGTATTGTGTGTAATTACTTGTACAGACCATAATGACCCAGTGGCATTGTAATAGTTTGGGGTTCTGGGGAATTCACTTTATGTATGGTGTACTGATATTTTGTACAGCTCTTTAACACATTTTATTTACAGTATTTGTGTATATTTTATGAAGTAATAAAAATGAATAATGTCGCTCATGAATCAGTATGGTCCTTTTTGTGATAGTTTTTTTTCACTTTGCTATAAGATCAGATCACAAAATAGATGCTATATTAAGTGACGCAGGATCTATTACGATCCTGTCATAGTTAGGTATACACATTTTGTTTTACACAATGACATCACTCGTGCAGACATCAGGTTGGGTCACGCATGCGCATTGAGAGTTTCGCAGGAGAACACTGCTGCAGCTGATGTGGAGGAAATAACGGCGCCTGTCGTTCCCAAGAATCACGACTTCTACCACTGTGCCGCAGCGGGGAGTCTGTTATTAGTGTTTCTACAGGGCATTCCTGTTCGCTTATTGGTGTGTTTATTTCTCCAAGCCGAAGAAAAAACAACGCTAGCATCAGGCTACACTGTGTTAGCTTTTGCTAACGTTAGGTCGCTCTGCTGGAGCCACCTGCAGCTTCGAAGCATTGGAACTGATTTATATCAGCCTGGTCTGATTTTATAGATATACCATTTTAATTCTATCGCTATTTTACTACCGTTTCGCTTTGTCAGTTTATTTATTTGCTCTGAATGGATTGGACTAATCTAAATTGATGAATCGTTTCAAAGCAGACGGAGTCGAACTACAGCGTAGGTGAGTAAAGGATGTCATCAAAACAAACCCGTGTTCTCTGGAACTAGTTAGTTGAATAAGAACTTGTCTAATCGATACTCTATGTATTTCCCACATACTGTTTAAGTATCGTGCCATACACAAGTTGTATCTTCACTGAATTGTCCACTCCACATTAGCGGTCTGTGATGCCTGCTGCTGATGCCTGCTGATGCCTGGACTGCATCAATGCTCTGATGTTTTGTGCACTTTCAGCCTGAGGACTCCACTCTGTGACAATGAGCGGTGGAATCGATCGAGGTCAATGTACAATGCGTGTTTGAAACGTTGCCACGGGTGCAGAGAAGAGGACTGAGGCTGCTGCCTTCTGGCCCTCACCCTCACTCTATTAACCAGAAGCAAATACAGCCTCAGACACGAGTAACTCACAGCAGACATAGTTTAGCGTTGTCAATGCAATATGTCACTAATATTACTCTGCTATTGCTTTGAACTGTATTTGTGTATGGCAGTGGTTCTCAAACTTTTCACACCAAGTACCCCCTCAGAAAATACTTGCCTCTCCAAGTACCACCACAAATGACCAACACCACACAGTAGCGTAGTAAGCCTAAGTATTCATCAAAAACAAGGCAGGGGTTTAATTCCTAAATAAGTTTATGTTTTACACAGTTTCAACAGTAAGACTGCGCTTAAACATAGGAAAAAATGTTTTTTAAATGTTTCATTCATTACAAACTGCAAAGCCTCACTGTGAATGATATTCTGGAGTGGGATCTTTGTCCACAGAAGGTTTGGACTCTGGTGCACTTTAGTTTCTAAGGCTTGGTCTGCTGCCCTCTTATATCTGTCGTTTACTCACAGAGACATGTTCATGTGGTTTGGATCAAATGAACGTTTGTTGCTCTCTGTTCCTTTTGCACAGAATTGGGAAAAAAAACTTTTGTTTTTGCTGCTCCTTCTACATGGAACGTGTTGCAAAAAGACTAGAAATGATCTGATCTTATTTCCTTGAATGCTTTTAGATCCAGATTGAGACATCTTCAGTGAAATGTAACTGTTTTTATAATCCGTAATTTTATGAAATTGTGTGTTACTGTTGTATAATCTGTATGTGACCGTTTTTTCATCTGTATGTGACTGTTTTATAATTTTATGTAATTTTTGAACACGAAAAAGAGGTTCTCATTGACTGCCAGCCATTTTTTGATGACTTCACTGATTTTTAAGACTCACAGAATATTGTGTGCTATGAAAAATATGAAACCAGAGTCTGAAAGACAGGACTGTCTACTTTCAGCAGCAAAAAGAAGTTTGTTCTTAGTTTGTTTCGTTCTCCTGTGATCTCCAGTCGAAAAGAGGGGAGTGTGCCAAAAAGCACCAGTCTAAGACAAAAAAATGAGAAAATTAGGTGTTTGTGAAAACAGACGAACTGCAGAAAAGTGATTGTAAAACTATTTAGTTTGACTTTAGCATCTCCTCAAACATGTCCAGGATCACATGTTAGAAAACAGCAACAACACATTATGAGAAAGTGTTTTTGATGCAAAATAATACGTTTTATGGCACACACTCACATCCACAAGTGTTGCTCAAATATTTCAAAATGTACTCATCCAAAAACTGTCAAAATGTACATATTGAAAGTAGAGCCCATGACAAACTATGGCAGATAGAATGGCCAGTATTCATCCATTAGGTGGCACTATAATTATGTCAATAAGAGTAAATCAAAGAATAACAAAATTACAATGATAAACACTATACATGACAATAAATCAAAGTGAATACTTATAATTATAGTATAAGTGCAATAGAATACTGCTTTGTGTGTTTGGGCGTGCATGTATGTGCGTTTATGCACGCGTTTGTGTGTTTTTGTGTGGTTACATCTACAGAGCGTCTGTTTAGTCTGTGACCATAATTGGACTTTGCTGCTGGCTCCTGGTGTGGACTCAGTTATAGTTTTAGCAATAGTCCACTTTTCTGTGGCTTTTTTGGCGTGCTCCGCTGGTCTGCTGCTCTGACCCTCCACATGGTCTGCTGCTATGACCCTCCACATGGTCTGCTGCTATGACCCTCCACATGGTCTCTGTCAGCTCTGGAGACACATTTACTGCTCAAACTGCCTCCAAATGTAGCCTGACCCTGACTATATTACTCCATGTCTGCTTCACCTCTGTCTCTCCTGCTCAGAGTGCTCAGAGTGATCTTTGACCAAACCAGGGAGTTCTGCTGCCACCTGCTGGCCTAATAAAATACTGTCTACAGCCAAACCCCAGACTGTATGATACAGGGGACACAGACTGACAGGAAAAGATTGAAAAACAATGTTGTCCTCAAATGACATCCATGGCTGAGAATGAGTTAATCTCAATGGGACTTTCCTGGTAAAAAAAAAAAGAACTTTGAGAAACACTGGTGTATGGTTTAAAAGTGTTAAAAAAATATGAAAAGTTGACAGTGTCCTAGCACAGGTCCTCACTCTTTCTTGGGAACACTGACCTTAATGTGTTTGCATTCACCTGAGCCTGAGATTAGCTATAGTGCTCAGACAGTTTACAGATCAATCTAATTGGCACATGTATGCAGTCCTCAACTCCGGCAAATTATGCAGCTATACGTGAAACGATTGTGATGTTGATGTTCATTATCCATAAAGCAGGGATCAAATGCACTTTCCGTGTGGGGTAAAGGTATTGGGTGACAATTTGAATGCTTCTCCAGCAAACACATTTTGGAAGGTTAGCAAAGGGATATGGGTTTTTTTTAATGCTTGACAAGAATCCTAAGAGCAGTGGATTTTAGGCATTCAGTGCTCAATGGACGATAAAAGGCCAACTCTTGCTAGAGACCATACTCTATTCAGGCCTAAAGAAAATAATTGTTTTTATTTAAATTTTATTTTTTACAATATTTTATTTAACATGTATTCTGATCTAAATCAAAGCTAAGCCTGATGCTGTGGTATAATGGTGTTTGGCGCAGGCTCTGTCTCAAATCAGCTCTGGAAAAACACAGGATCTGGGTCATCTGCTTCTGCTGTCAGACTGAATATGTTTGATTCCTTCTCTCATTCTCTGTTCCACCCTCCGCACGTCAGTGCTTTGTATCTACACATTTTATTTTATTTGGTTCCTGAAAATATTTTGTGATGAAGTTTCCTTTTTTACATTGTCTTTTTCTCTTGCTTTGTGCAGATGAGTCGCCTTTGGAAGAGAGACATACCCCTCTCACAGAGGTTAGGTAATGACTCACTGTCCGCTCTGGCCCCGGGGCCCCCTGCCACTGTGGCCCCAAAAGGTTCCAACACGTCATGGGCCCCAGAAGTCCCTATGGTCACCCCAGAGGAGCCCTTCTTCCTCATGACTTCCACAGCTCAGACCATCTCCGGATTCTTTGTTTGGACTGCGCTCCTCATCACGTGTCACCAGGTGAGTAGGACCTGAAGTACCAGAGTGCAGCCTCAACATAAGTCACAGTACACACAGAGCACTTTATTTATTTTATAGGGACATGTGTACGCAATCAACATGTGAAACACTACAACATGTGTAGCCATGGATAATTTGGGCTTTTAACACAATTAAAAACAAATGACACATTATGCAAAGGCAGCTGTCCCCAACTCATTGATGACAATTGGTTCGTTTTAAGAAATTGCTTCAGTTCATGTTTAAAACCAGCCCAGTCCAAGGTCAGTTTAAGCCAAGAACTTAAAGAGTTCCAGAACTTTGCCCCCTGGACAGAGAAGGCTGATTGTCCGAATGTAGTTCTCCTGATTTCCGTTGGAGGAACCTCAGCGAAACTATGAGAGCACTCAGGACAGCAGGGGCCTGACTGTCTTTAGCACTTCATATGTTTAGTACTGTTCAGAGTACTAGTGTTGGTGTTAGCTTCCCTCTTAGGGAAGCTCTGTGCCCTGCTGTCACAGAGCTTTCTGCTGCTGTTATGTAAAAAAGCTGTTCTGCCCAAGGCTATTGTTAGTGTTTGTCTTTTATTGTCCAGAGCCTCTTTACGTAGAGTAAAGAGCTGCTCTCCATCGCTCTGGTAACAGGTGCTGTCCGTTATGACAACATCAAAGACCATGAATGTGCGTTCAAGCTCAGGAGGAGGCCAGGTCACTTAGCAACCAGAGTGCCCTGTCTGGACCAGTGAGTGTGGTGTTTTTGGCAACGGAGGTGATAATGGAAGCCGGACAAGTGGAAAAACGGCCTTATGTCGTACTGTAGATACATCTGCTCATCCTGTCATCTGCTGCTACTCTTCAAAGAAGTGTTAAATGATGAGTTCAGTTGAGTTCACCAAACAAAAGGCTGTCTGCATACAGGCCCTGCGAGGTTTACTGTGAGTTTACACAAGCTGATGACAGTTTCTGTATGGAGTTTCTGTATTGCACTAACTCCTTACTATGAGTGGGTTTGCATCTGTATGTCTTCAGCTTTATTTCTTTTGAATTACAGACAGCTACCTCCAGAAAGTCGCATTTTGTTCCCATAATAACTTAAAGATAGTTTCTAAGAAGCTAAAGCTAAAGCTATTGTTATATTGGCGTCTTCCTGGTTGCACAAGGAGCGTCTGGAATGACGACAGTGTTTCATGTTGCGATGCTAAAGATGAGGCTCTTGAAAAAACGCTACAATTAGAATAAACATTTGAATCTGTAATTTTTAGGAGAAAAATGCCCCTAGAACCAGACCTGACAATAGTTGTGTGAAACGGGCCTTACCTTACTTTCACATACACCAAGGCTGTATTAGGCGCATCTATATAAGCTGCACCAGCAAAAATGTTAAAGAAAGTATGTTTTGCTCACATATAGACCGTATTTGAATATAAGCCGCAGGTTTTCATGTTGTAGCAGAGAGACGACTGTTTTCACTGGTCACAGCTGGAGGTGTTTAACATCTTAACCCGTACTCACTCACTGTTTCTATTCTGACAATAAACGAGTGTCCTGTAGCTACTAAAGTGAGTCCATGAACTCTGCTCTGAAAACAGTATATTTTCCCAGCTCTGGTTTACGCTTCATTAAAGCTCGTTGTAACTTGCTCTTCAGATCTACATGCACCTGCGCTACTACAGCTCTCCCAACGAACAGAGGCACATCGTGAGGGTCCTCTTCATCGTCCCCATCTACGCCTTTGACTCCTGGCTCAGCCTGCTCTTCTTCACCAATGAAGAGTATTATGTCTACTTTGACACAGTCCGTGATTGTTATGAAGGTGAGCCTGCTGTTTAACACTGACTCTCACATTTGTGGCAAATGTGAAAAGAAAAAGTCTAGTGATGAATGAGTCCTGCGTTTTGGATCAATCGTCACTTCTCTTCATGACTTGATGAAGAGAGTGTTGACATATTATTCAACTAAACAAATTCTGTCTTATGACATTCTTCAGTCTTTTTCATAGTGAGATGTGATGGTTGGTCACAATTAAACATTAAATGGCTGCTGAATTAAGGGCTTTTATTATGGAAAAAGATACTTCTGTATATATCTGTATCAAGAATGACTACAAAAATAACTCCAATCAATTTATCCTCCGGGCACTCCGCTTTCACCAACCACTAAAAATATGTCAAATAGGTCTGAATATGAGACTTCTGAAAGAATTCGGTGTCTCGCTTCTGTCATCCTGGTACGCTTAAACGGGAAATGTGCTATATATATATATATATATATATATATTAGGACTGTCAAACAATTAACATTTTTAATTGAGTTCATTACGGCTTAAAAAATGTTTTTGTGTTCAAAATACATGTATTTGGTTTGTTATTACAACAATAAATCCACATAAAATGGCATTAACATTATTAACATTTTGTTTTTCTGTAGTGACTCAGACCAAACTATTGTTTGTTACAGATGAGGGACTGTTCAAAAAAGTCTGAAATGCAGGATGTCATTAAATCTGTTTGATTTGCTCACAACATTTTACTTTTGGGCGCAACCAACAAGAACTGGTAGTGGAAGGGAACAATTAGGTACCCCAGCTTTAATTTGGCGAGTGCGTTTTTGGGGGAGACACGCAGGAGACTGAGGCTCCGTCGTCTTCAGAGGTGTATTTATTGCATGTACAAGTTACGCACAGGTGACGCATAGTCCTGTGCGCGTGACGTTACGGCGGCACCGTTCGCCGTGTTGTTGTCAAAGTGACAGCTACTGGAGGTGGGAACTGCTGTCCAGAGCGGCCGCAGCTGCCCCGAGTCAGAATGCTGTGGCCACGGAGGATGCAGACTCCAGTTCAGTACATACAGAAAACAACAGCATGTCCCCTGCGGTCATGCGCGTTTTCTCTTTAAACTTGAATTCCCAGAGGGCCTACCTGCTCTTTCTCCATCCATATATACTGGATATATCTTGATTAATAATCATGCAATTGTTCCAAGTTCCTGTTCTTTTCTGACTTGTTTTGTGTTTTCAGCTTTTGTCATCTACAATTTCCTCAGCCTGTGTTACGAGTATCTCGGAGGGGAAAGTGCCATTATGGCAGAAATCAGAGGGAAACCCATTGAGTGAGTTTGAGTTTTGGATTTGTATTAAAAAAAGAAGTTTGCTTTCTCTAAATCCATTGTGATATTTAGGTCCAGCTGTATGTATGGAACGTGCTGTTTGTGGGGAAAGACATATTCCATTGGTTTTCTCCGATTCTGCAAACAGGTAACTGCATATCTGAACTCGAGTCTAAAAGCTTCAATTAGAACCTTTCAAAATACCGTGTTGTTTCCTGGGTCTTCAGGCGACTCTTCAGTTCTGTGTGGTCAAACCTTTGATGGCCATGATCACCGTCATTCTCCAAGCCTTCGGGAAATACAGAGACGGATACTTCAGGTAGCTTACTTCTTTTCATTTATTACATACTTATATAGGAAGCTCTTTATGTATCAATATGCGACTGCAATAAGTAGCCATTTAAAATCAGACGCGCTGTGTTCAGGCCGATCCAAAGTCTTCCACAGATCTGATTGGCTGTTCATCTGGAACGAATTATGAAGTGAATATCCACAAACATGAAAGGAAAGAAGTGACTTGAATTAAGCGACCTGTATCTGATGATATATAAAATGTGTTGCCTTTATCTTGTATAAGATGACACACAATTCATCCATTCGTCCACATAATCTGACGAAGCAACAATGGACTATTGTTGTTGCCATGACGCACACGCTCTATAAGTATCAAGCCTGTTACTTTGTCCAGCTCATTTCAAATCACGTTTATCCAATATACTCGGTTAAACCCTCTGAAGCGTAGGACAGGCCACATGTGGTGACGAGTATTTTTCTCCCCTTCAGTGTGAACAGCGGATATTTGTACGTGACCATCATCTACAACATCTCCGTCAGTCTGTCGCTCTACGCTCTCTTCCTTTTCTACTTTGCAACACGGGAGCTGCTAATCCCATACAGTCCAGTTCTCAAATTCTTCATGGTTAAGTCGGTCATCTTTCTCTCCTTCTGGCAAGGTAAGAAAATGTGTCTTGGTAAATAGTTTAAAGTCACTGAAATAGTATAGACATAAAAAAAGCAGCCAGAATCTGAAAATGACCCCAATCAACCCACTAGTGTTGATCAAAGTTATACCATTATCAGGTATGCTTCTGGCCATTATGGAAAAATGCGGCGCCATCCCTGAGATAAACTCCGCCGACGTCTCCGTGGGTGAGGGGACTGTTGCCGCGGGATACCAGAACTTCATCATCTGCATCGAGATGTTCTTTGCAGCTGTTGCTCTACGCCACGCTTTTACCTACAAGGTGTACATGGACAAGAGACTGGACTCCTACGGTGAGGATTTAGAGGCATTTAGAGTCTGCGTTGGACTGAGTAACACTTCTGTCATTTCTCCGTTTACATGTTTCAGTCTGACTTCTTAGTATCTCTCGGTATCTTTGTCTTTACCTGTTTGTTCTCTCTCATTCCTCGGCTCTCAAAGGCTCCTTTCCCACTTACGGACAGTACGGTAGGTCCAAAGATGTACTGTGGTTGTATGGTCCGCCGCTACATTGGTGTAGTTTTTGTTCTGCATCACTTTTGTCCCTTATTTGTTTATTTTCAGATTTCTTTCGTCACACACATTTCAGAGTTTTGTTTTGTTGATGTTTTATATTCCATCTGAGGCCTCAGTGCTGTAGGTTACACGACATGTACCGCTACAGACAGCTTGTACAGCAGTGTGCACAACATGCATTTCACAAAACCTTTATTTTATTTGTGTGTTTGTATTATGTGCATTTGTTGCACACAATCCAATATGATAAATGCACATATCAAGGTTATTTAACAAACTAACGAAACAAAAAACATGCATAAAGGTGCAATCACTTGTTCTAATACAATGTTAAAGCTCAGAAGCCCAAATCCAGTCAAAACTGTTTAAAACCATGGGTTGTCAGACCCTGAACAAGTAATTTGTGTTATTAGTGTGCTCCTACATAAAAGAACAAAAATCCATTGCTTTCTTCATAGAGTGAATGCTAAAGGGCTAATGTTTTGCGAACATTTGTGTAGTTTAAGATGTTTTATTAGCAAGAGTGGGTGCATTACATCACACATGATTAATTCCCCACATCCTCATTGTTCATTTTCATACCACCATTCATTTTTTTTGTCGAGTTTATTGACGTCATTCTGTGAACCAGCTGTTGTCGCTGTCCTCAGGTCGCTGTGCTCCCATGAAGAGCATCTCCAGCAGTCTGAAGGAGACCATGAACCCAGGCGACATGGTGCAAGACGCCATCCACAACTTCTCTCCGGCCTATCAGCAGTACACCCAGCAGTCCACTCTGGAGAGGGGCGGGGGGCCGCCACTGTCCCGCAGCCACAGCAACGTCAGCACCAGGGCGGACAACGAGAAGACTCTGCTGCTCAGCTCCGATGATGAGTTTTAACTCTAAACAGGTTACTCTTCAAACGCAGACGTGCAGGGGGTAAATCAGGACTTAATGCTGCTGTGAGGAGCGAGAAATCAGGGAGAATCAATAGTTTGTGATGCGAGTTCAGAGTGTTGTGCCGGTCTTTAGGGTAACTGTGCCTACTCTACAGTTCTTTACACCACAATTTGACGTGCCATCTATTTGCGAGACGCTTGGCCTTTACTTTTTATACTAGTTCTAAGTCCACACACCTCCCCTTTTGCCATGTCTGCCTCTGAATTAAACATTGCCAAATTTAAGGGCCAGTAACTTAAAGAAACACTGCTGTGAGATTTACATGAAATAAGTCTCAAACTACTTGATTTTTTTGAAGTCTTAAGAGTTCTATTGCACACTTTTTTGTTGTTGCGTTGTGTATGACCTTGTAGGTTCAAGCTAAAGTTGTTGAAGATACTGTCACTTAGTTTGTTCTGATTTTGGTAGTTTGTTGTGATTTGCACTGAAGGAACAGCTGCTGCACAGATTTCTGCACACAGGCCAAAGCTGCTGGAGGACTCAGCCCACGCACATTACAGATTACAGATTAGAGAGAAGCAACACGTAGTTCCAAAAGCTGCACAGCTGTGGCGATCGTAATCCCATCACTGCATCACAAGAAGCTCACGGCGCCCTCTGCTGGTCAGCTTCCACAACGACACTAGTCTGTGTCGATCTTAAACTGAAGACTTTGAGATGGTCTGTCGTGATCTTTGTGCGTTGCTTAACAGTAAATATTGAAGTGAAATGGGCGTTGGCAGTTTGTCAGTGTAGTATTAGGAGCAACAGAATCCTGAATAATCTTTCCATTTCTAACGTTGCCTTTGCTGTATCCTACAAAGTTCTCATTAAGCTCAATCCTCTGAGAGGACTATGCTTTTGTCAGTGAGTTTTAAATGCTAATTGTAAAGTTCTTACCAATTATAAAGAGTTTCTCTTTTAGGCTGCAATAATGGCGAACACAATTAGCTAAGACTGCTGCCTTAAATATTTTACTCCTAAATCACGTTTTAAACTTTACTTTTGAGAAATGCTGTAATAAGGCCCTAAACTATTAAATGTTGTAAATAGATTTAAGTCATGTGAAATGATTGTAAAAACAGTTGGGTTCAGTGTCATTTGCAGTTTGGGTTCTTGATAAGTAGGCTTGCTTTGAATGCATTTGTTCATGTTTTGAATATTTTATGTTGGCAAGAGAAAATTTAATAAAAAATCTATTCATAAATCACATGTGTGCCTCAAACCTGTGTGTTTGTTTAAATCATTTATTACAGTTTATTTCACATTTAAAATAACTGCAACATTTTGAATTGGTTAAATGCTTATTCTCCAAACATTTCCCACGTACCAGAAAAGTCATTATCCATTCAGAATGTTCTACATAATTCGTCAGTTATTTACAGAGCAGAGGAATGCAAATGAGAATCCAACATGCATCGCAAAACAAATTCTACTTGAGACAAACCTCGTCACGCAGTTTCAGAAATGTTGATGCCAACAATAAAATAAGAATCACAGACATGGAACAAAGTTCTGCAAAAGAGGCACATATGCGGCTGATGATGCAGTAAATTCTCCCGTTTGTAGTCACAAAATAAGAGCTTTTTACATGACTAATTCAAAGGTGCACATGAGTGACATTATTGCATGCTTAAGGGAAAATAAATAACCTAAAATGAACACAGATGGTTTACCCTCATGGACAAAGGTTAGCAGGTGAAGCACAAACAGCAGACTAGACCTGGACACGCGAGTTTTAAAGCATACAAACAGCACTAATAAGGGAGGTGCAGAGACTCAAAAGGATGTGTTGTATTTGGAGTAGAATTGTTTGAAGGAAAAGCAGAGTCTCAGCATAGAGCATGTAAATGCTATAGGTTGTCCCAGGTGTTTGCAGGTGGAAATTGTTCTAAAGTGCCGCTCTCCCTGTGCTCCTTCTCTCCCATAGTGAAGGCTAGTGTGTACTGCAGCAGCACCTTCTCCTGCAACAAACAACAGTTTATATTATACCTTGTAATAAATATAACGCAATAAACTCTGGACTGCTTTTAAACACGTCTTTCACCATTGTCTTAGAGGAATGATTAAAAAAAATAACATTAAACAAATAAATTGAACGCAAGGACACAGTAATGAAGAGTGCAGGACAAAACACTACACTTGCCTTCATTGCAAAAAGAATCGAAGTTGCTTCTCTCCCACTCTGAGGCAGACTAAATGGATATCCATCAGCTGTATAATAGGAGTGGACTAACAGTGTCTGTTTGCCATTTGCAGCAGGCAATTTAAAAAACAAAGCTTGCAGGAACAAATTTCATTGGATGGGCATTTGTTTGAATGGTGTTAGGAACACGTTTGCTGCGTGAAGCTAACAAAAACAAATTTATAAACACACCAAATCAAGGATTTTTTAAGCCCAAAACGGTGAGTGATACCAACTGTCACTGGGCTACGAGCAATGCAAGTCAATAGGAACCAGCAAGAGTTGGAGCCAAACTTTGTCCATGAGCACTTTGATTTGAGTTGCCTTGTGTATAAACTGTGCTATATAAAGTGCTTATAAAAGGGGGTTAAGCATAGTCAGTCTGGTTTAGCCAGACATCCCTAGCCAGAGAAATAAACTAAGTCAGTAAAAGGAGCAGGAAAATATTTGACTATAGCGCCAATACTTTTTTTTTTTTATATACAGTGGCCACAAAAAAATAAAAAAAAATAAAAATCCACCTGAAGCACACCTTTAGATTACCTGAACGCAAGCACCACTGATGCGCTTTGGGTAAATGAAAGACTCCACAACATAAACCAGAAGACAAAAAGATTGAAGGGGCAATCTGCCTTTGAGCATACCTTGTTTGGGTTGGCCAGCAGTAAGATTTGTGTGACAGCAGCAGGAGGAAGGATGGGGTTAAATGCTGGAAGCTCTGTGCCTGACGGTGGTTGCAGCTTCACCTCCAAAGACTATTAAAAAAGTACATTTAAGTGACAAGCTCACTTCTATAAATAGAAGTGGATTGCTCTCTCACCTTTGGAGCTTGAACATCAAAGTTTATCTTTGAAACTGGAGAAGGTGCGGACGACAGCATGGAAATGATCACGACCAGTACATCGGGGCGAGATGGAGGATGATTCTGAGCAAAGTGGAAGAGAACCCGCAAACTGTGTCCGTCAAATACAGTCACAGGTAACAGACTACCTGCAGGACGGAAAGAAAAAGCACACATAATCCACATTCAGGGGCCACAATGATAACCACATACTCACTTGGTTTGATGGATTCTAGGGGGACAAACACATCGGAGAGTGTGACGAGAGGAGGCGGGGCTTCTATGTGAGTGGGCGGAGCTTCTGTGTGTCTTGGGGACATGTCCATGAGCGTCGCTGCTGGACTGGGGTGCAGGTTGAGGAGAGCCGGTTCAGAGGGGAAAGACTGGCTGAGACCAGGGCTGAGGCTGGACTTCTGCAGATCTCTCAGGGAGGGTTTGGACTGCTGCTTGTCCCTGATGAAAGAAACTACCTTTAATAATAGTAATGATTAAGTGCATCAGACCTGGAGGCTTCACATATCCACACCTCAATCATATTGTACTTTTGCAAAAGATACATTTGTCATCTATCCATAACAGGGAAATCAATATGTGTTGAGTGTATGAAGAGGAAGAAGTTTGTAGATTTGTTTCCTTGAGATTTTGGGCCACTGCTGTACACGACAGTCGGTGACAGTCGCTTTTGAATTCTTGAGGATTCTGCTCAGGTTGGTTTCTTCATGCAAATGTATATAAATCCAGTCTAATTGTACAACCTGTAATACAAGGACCTGCCATAAAACAGTTAAATATATGGCTTTGAGAAGACTTTTTTTACAGATTCGCAATATGTCCTGAGGGAAGAGTTGAAGCATGAGCCTGAGGTGGGTTTCTGTAAAACAGTCAAAACACTGCACAAAATGTTCACTGAGTGTTTGCTACAGTTAGCGCCCCCTGCCCAGCAACAACCACTAGAAGGAACGTGAGATTTCTACATCACATTCCTGGAACAAATTATTGCAGAAATTGGAGTGGTTTGCCAAAAGGCGTAGCAAGAATATGAAGTGGGTCAGCTGAAGGGTGCGTCCACACTTTGGGCCGATTATGTCATTGAATCTTTGTTAATTTATCAATGGAACAGGAGATTCCATTTCAGAGAATCCCTCTTTTGCGCTGTAAACTACAGCCTGTATGAAAAGAATACAGAGGTCTACATACATGCCCCGTCCATGTGACCGGTACGTACCATTTCACATGTGGCCCCTCTGGAGGTAAAGACTGCTGTAGTAATGTCTTTCCCAGCAGGTCCAGCTCATCTAAGGCAGAGTTCCCTGGAGCGGAGGTGCTGGAGCGGCTGAAGGAGGGGCCCAGAGGTTCTGGACTCAGCAGGAGACTGGGGGCTGCTGGGACGTCTGCCTCAATGCTCTCTGATGACTGGACGCAGACAAAAATCATTAGACTCAACTCTGGACCTTGTTCTGCCAGAAAAACTGCAGCGAGACTGACGAAAATCTTTACTCGTCACATTTCAGCTCACACAGATTCACAGCATTAACCTCCTTCGTATTTGATTATATCAGGTTCTCCATTACACACAACTTATCTTTATGCACATTTTCAAAACTGAGAATTTTGTTTCTCAATTTTACATTCATATAATGCAAACTTTCATTATAACAACTTTTTCATTGAAAACAGTACTCATAGTTTAGGCATACACACTGTAAATGGCACATCTGTTGTGCAGTAAACCCATTAATGTTAGTCCAGTTGCATCATTGTCCTCAATCAGTATTTAACTCACTGACTGCCAGGCATTTTCAGATTTGAGAAGTGCATTCTGCCAGCAATTTCAGGTGATTTGACCCAACTTTGAAGTGCCACAGAATATTCATTTTTTAGACGATGTAAACACCAAGGGCACCAAATTAAAGATTCACCTCTCTGCTTTACTCTGAAAAAAAAAACCAGTTTGTTTCTACCTCTTACCGTTCTTGCGTTATTCGCCATAAAACAAAGCATACTTTCACCCATAACACCTGGTCTGAGCAAGAAAACAGAGGAAACGAGCTGTATGTAAACAGGAACATATCAAGCAGAAAAGAGACTTTTAGATGCATTTTTGCTGCTTTAGTGACAACTCAAAACATCTTCACACTTGTTCCATTACAAAAATTATAAAAACATGACTCTGAAATAATACTTTTGATGGCAAATTGTTGGCAATTTATTCACAGATAGAAAATTTAACTTTCTTCTATACCATCAACCAAAACGTCAAACAACAACAACACAAAGATCAATAAAACTATAGCTGTATAAAATAGAATGAAGCGTGTGAATTTGAGTGTGTGTGTGAATGTCAGTGTGCGAGTGAGTGTCTGTGTGAGTGAGTGTCTGTGTGTGTGAATGTCAGTGTGCGTGAATGTCAGTGTGCGTGAGTGAGTGTCTGTGTGCGTGAGTGAGTGAGTGCGTGTGAGTGTTTGTGAGTGTGTCCGATAAATCATGATCAGGTTTGCTGAACGAATCCGAGGCATCAGTAACAACAGCAGCTGATACGCTGCTAGAGGCGGAAGGTGTGTCTCTGCTCGGGGCTCTTGCTCCGCGCAAATATGGCTGCAGAGACGGACCTCCACCGGGGTCTCCCCTCTCGACCTCACTCACTGATCCGCGAGTCAATCTCTGAAGCAGTGTCAGCTGCTTATAACTATTCTTTTTCGCCATCACTCTTGCTATACTATCGCTAAACTAGATCGCTGATCCGTCTCAATGCTACGCTATCATCGCACGCTCTGCTACAGCAGCACGCTCTCCCACACTCCCACACTCCTCCTCCTTCTCTCCACTGACTTATGACCTCTCCTGTGGTGCAATACTGCACCTACTGGTGGTGATTTATCATTACAGGTACATTTGCACTATATATATCAGTGTTGTGGGTCATTCACAAGGTGCGCCAGACATTACTGCAGCCTCCCGTGTAATAACACGAAAAACTCGTCAAACTCGTCATGGGCAGTGAGCGTTACTATTCAACATGACGACTTTTGTCGTCATGGGCAGTGAATGAGTTAAACTCTGATTAAAATTGGAAATAAAATATTGCAGTAAAAGGTCCTGTAAATCAGGGGAGTCACTCATTAGTCAGGGGCCAAAAGTATGCCAGTCATTTTCTTGGTGAAAGCTGATCTTTGGCATCTATGGATCATCCTTTGCATCTATGAATTTTGCATGTGAAGGCATTTTTACAAAAAGATGACTTTTATATAGCAAAAATTAGTTTATATAAAAAGGAAGACAATTTAGGTTCAGTGCTGATGAACATTTTTGTTGTTACCTGGAAAGAGTCCCATGCAGTGGAGTCCTCCGGCTGTGGATGTGAGGCCTGTGTTCCTTCACTTAAACCTGTAGAAACAGAGCAGCTTCAAAAAGTCTCTGCTCAGAGAAGAGAGAAACGCTGGAGTAAAGAACCCACCCAGAGACATGAGCTCATCGTCAAGGAGACTGATCTTCAACTCCTGAGACTTCAGGTTTTCTGTTGGAGTGGGGAATTCTGGGGGAGACTGAGGCGAGGCGTCCAGTCCACATAAATCTAACAAAGCAGTTCCGCCTGAAATAACAGAAGTCCACTTTGTTTACAGCAGGTGTAACTATGTCAAGACACGTTTTCTGTAATCTTACCACTCGGCTGCTGTGTGCTGGAGGCGTTTCCATTGACAACCTCACCCTTCACCTGCTGCTTGTAAAGGTTAATAACCTGAGTCAGATTATCATTTGCCTGTAGGATCTCAGCTGTAGAAAAATAAGAAAAACATTAAGGAAATATTTAGTCGACTCTTGGCAAAACACAATGCTTGACTGGATCAATACATTTAGTTATTTTGACTGCATTTGATCTATGCCTCATCTGTATTTAATATGATGGCAATGAATTAATGTATACAATACATTCATTTTAAAAATGGGAAACACTTTGCTGGAAGCAGACGGGGATCCCCGATAAATTATAATCGTTGCAATGGAGCGCACACCTCCCAAAATGCAATGATGGACTAATGTTGCCAGATCCAAAAACCCTTCAGAAGCTCACCTAATGCTTCGTCACTATCTTCTGTATCGCTGGCGAGTCGAAACAGTGTCGGTCTCATTTTTTCACAGCGTTGGTACAAATCCTTTGTTCACACAACACACACCAGATTAAGTCACTGAGGGCTCATGGTGGCAAATGGCTGAAGAGTTTGATAATAAAATTGTTTACCTGCAGAAGTTCAGCATTACTTGGAGTGCTGGTCTTACAGTCATATTCTTGTACGAGTTGTGTGAGTAGAGCAACACTCTCGTTCACTTCCTGAATGGCGTTGACCCGCTTAGATACTTTCTCAGTCCGTCGCTGATCCTGAAATGGATAAAAACACTCAAGTTAAAGCGTTGTGCAGAATCGGCTACAAAAATATAGATTTACCATCAAATTGAGGGCAAGTGTCTCAGCTATTCTGAAACATGACCACTCATTGGCTGCTCCCCTGACAGCCGCAGGGGCAGCCAACACTTCCTCATTCACATTCTGTCTGCGCCTGATCAAACGTCTATAGGAGGTCAAGATTCTCATTTCTAATCCAAGGCTGTAATACTGAAGTTGCATTTAACTTAAAGAAAAGAAACTTGCTGAGAAGTTGTGACAGATCTTTTAGACAGTAAATCTATGAGACGTTTGAGTGACATCACTTTAGCTTCGTTTTGGTCACATTCTTTTTCAAAATAAAGTCCCATGTGCAATTACCTTTCAGGACCTAAACAAATTAAAGAAAGCTTAAAAGGTGACCCTTTTTTACCCTTAAAAAAGGTAACATCAAACATGTGACGGTCCATAGCATGTAATGATCTTCAACTTTCGAATCACCAATTTGGTGACTTAAAATCCCAGTTCCACTTCTCAAACAAGCATTTGATATTTAAAATAAATAATTTAAAATAAATAATTTGAAGACAAAAAAAAAAAAAGTTACCTCTTGGACCATTTCTTTAATCATCTTATTAGCAGCTTTTAAGTCTTCAGGGTGAGAGCTATTCAGCAGACGAGTGAGCATCTGGGGAAATCAGGAGGAATCAGCAATCAATCAATTCAGATCAATATAGAATTTATTATAGAACTTATTTTTACTTTGGATTTTTCTTTATCTTCAAAAATTGTGTTTTTAGGTCTGGGAGGAGGTAGACTCAACAGTTTATCTGGTGGGAGCTCAGGATCTTGTTTAATAATGCCTGGTCAACAAAAACCATGGTCAGGATAGAGGTCCAAAAAAAAAAAAAAAAAAAAAACATTAATTACGTCATTATAATGTAACAAACCTTGTTTTTTCAACATTTGATAGGCATCTGTTATTTTTGCTTCATCTGGTAACGCTAATGTCCAACTATAAATTAACTCCAAGACCTTCTTTTTGACTGGCTCTGGTGACCGCGAGCCTAGATACTAAAATTAGAATAGGTTAAAAACAGATAAATTAATGATGAAATATATTTGTATATGAATTTCTTTTGTGGGATACCTTTGGAGAAACTACTTTGATGAGCTCATTTAGAAAACGAAACTTGCCGACTTCACTGTGAAACCTTTTACCACAGTTTTTCATACAGGTCTCTAGAACCTACAAGAAAATTAATCACATGTGAAAAAAGAAATGACCAAGACTTTTAATGTTATGTGACATTCCAAAGCACTGACCAGCAGAGCCTGCATTGCCTCCCATTCCTGCGGCGACTGGACCTTATGGGCCAGCAGCCTGGTAGCGAGCTGTGGACTGAAGAGAACACAACACAACTGTCAAATGCCAAAACATTCACAATCAGAAACTGGTTAGAAATAAAATAAAAACAGAAAAAATGGTGTTGTCACACTAAGGGGAAAGAGCACTAGAAGGCATAATGACAGCATATATGAACTTACCCCTCCAGATCATTGTTGAGTTTCTCACAGAAGGCATGGATGCTGCTCCAGTCGGTGTCTCGGTTGAGTGGGTTTGTCGCCCTGTCTAAAGTTAGAAGGTGGGCGTTACTAAAGCACTCAAATACAACAGCATTAACCCACTGCTTCATCTGTATGTACACACGAGTCAGACGCCCATTTAACATTTCGTAGACCCTTGAAGTCAAGCGTGTCATTTTAACGATGGCCTAAAACGATTGTATCAGAGTTTCGTATTCTTATGTGGGTACTTTTAAGAACGGTGGTACTTTTAAGAACGGTGTCATATCGGCTGCTTGTGGCCAACATGGAAGATGAGGTCTTAAACTAAAACTCCCCCAGACAGTGACACATAACCTCAGCGAGTCACGGAGCAGACTGAAGAGGCTAGTGTTAGCTTCTAGTGCAGATCCTCACTGTATGGCCGACTTGTCTTCCGCTTACAGCAGCTCACATTGACATTTCAAACCAACTTAAGACGTCGGGTAAAACTAGTGCATTTGGTCCATCAGACAGCTGTGTTTGCGAGTTTAGGCTGCGGCTGGTTGTGCAGTGTTGACAGCTGGATGCACAGGCACAACAGCAGCACTGGAGCTAGCTTAGCATCCTGCTCTTGTCGGAAGAATACGTGTCATTTTGAAGAGTGGACGCGTCATTGCTGTTTATCCAGCTACAGTATATGCATTTATATCTGTCTGTGTGGAGGTACAACCGTGGCAAAGGTAAAGCAGAGTTTACTCACTGATTCGGGACTCCAAACTCTCCTCGTCGGGCGGCGCAGCCATAGTCACTGCGAGATTTATGTGATGCGTGGATCTCGCGAGTCTCGTTCAGCGCGAGACGATGTAGTCACAAAATTTACCATTGTCCCACGTTTTTTAATCCATCTCAAAGAATGAGTTTAATGAGCACAAATCCGTTTACGGTAAGGCATTTAGCAAGTAGTTGTACACACAAGGCAACTCAAAGACGTCTAGCCCTTCAAGCAGCAGTAAGCGATTTGGTCGTTTCCGGCAGTTTCTTCTGCCTGAGCGAGTTAGTAGCCCCGCCCCCGTCTCCTCGTCACACCACATGAACGCGCATCGTGTTGGTGATGGCAGCAGCAGATTCATCTCCGTCGGGTCTACTCGTAAGTATATTAACAACAAACTCTGGGAGTGAAATATTAGCATAGAATAGCTCAGTTGTAACCTAGCTATAACACTGGAAGCAGCTTGGTGTTAGCTAGGATAGCATCACTAAGAAAGAGATAAAAACAATCCAGTCTTTTATAGAATAATACTGCTTTTATAGTTGGCACACTGATAACTGTTGTGATAAACATAATGTTGCAGATTGCAGTGTGACGTGTCTCAACATTATGCACTGTAACATCTGTTACAGTGCATATGTATTAGATGAATGTAATGCATATACATTACAACAACAAAGCTTTACATGAAGGTTATTTAAAGTAATACATTACTGCTTTCCTCACAATTTGTATATTTGGAGTTCTTTATAGACAACACTGTAGTAATGTATTATGTGAAAGTAAAGCTGCATCTCACTGGAAGCTGCCTTCTCAATGTCACAAAATAAAGAAACATTTATTGATGTAATCAACATCTGTATTATGTGCTTATTGTTCAGAGAATGAAGACAAAATCAAAGTGTATCAGAGCTGTACAGTGAGATGTGGGACTGAAAAACAATTCCAGTAAAGCTTGTCCGAAACGCAAAAGTACTGTCATAACTAATTACGTTACACTATTACACTGTAAGGAAACTCACCACTTTGAAAGAAAAGCTACAAGTAACAGAATATATAAAGTCATTTGTCATAACGGTTTCTTTCAGGAAGCACTGAACGCCCTCTGTCCAGAGAAGCTGATGACCAGATCCTCCCAGACCTTTCCCTGGTGCGTCTGTGAAAGGTGCCAACAGACATTGAAAACGTGCTTTCCTCAGCGGCCCCCATGGTGCACGTCCTCAGCGGCCCCCATGGTGCACGTCCTCAGTGGCCCCCATGGTGCACGTCCACTCTGCAGTTCTGAAATATGTTTGTAGTTGTACTATTTCAAAATAAAAAAAAATACATTCACCTCTTTCAATGTGCTTTGTTTTATAGTAGGAAAACAAATACAGTCTGTAACGAGTCTAAGAAACTTTATTATGTAAAAGAAGATTTGAAGTTATAGCCGGAAAAATATACACAATGTCCCTACTAAGACAAATAATTACAAGTGATGGTAAGGCAACGTTTGTGTTATCACTTTTTGCTCAAATGAATAACACTGTTATTATTCAGGTCCTTATCCATCGCTGCTGCAGCGAACACTATCAGAGATATCTAACAAAATGTTAATCTTTATGTTGTAGTTTGTTTGAACACATTTCCTCAAAATAATTCATAAGCAGCCACGCACACACAGCCACAAGCACACACAAGCACACACAGTCACAAGCACACACAAGCACACACAGTCACAAGCACAGTCACACACAGTCACAAGCACAGTCACACACAGCCACAAGCACACAAGCACACACGCACACACAGCCACACGCACACACAGCCACAAGCACACACAGCCACAAGCACACACAGCCACACGCACACAGTCACACACAGTCACAAGCACACACAGCCACAAGCACACACAGTCACACACAGTCACAAGCACACACAGTCACAAGCACACACAGCCACACGCACACACAGCCACACGCACACACAGCCACACGCACACACAGCCACGCTTCAGGGGCCCAGGTTGAAGGAACTGGAGTCTTCCTCTGGCAGAGATTTTCCTTTGAAACATAATAGAAGAGACATCAGTTTTATCTACTCAAATATGACTTTGATATATTCATCATCAACAACATCAGTATTTATTGGTCACCAGGAGTGGCCCCTGATCCACAGGATCCTTGAACATGTTTATTTGGACTGTGAGAGACTGTGCATTGTGAGAGAAAGACACTTACATCGGCTGTTTTGGGAGTCGAGTGATTATCTCACTCCTCTTGATTGTTGAAGAAACTCAGCGACAGTTTTGTCAACACTGACTCCTGGAACATGATCGATATTCATTTTGGACCTCAGGGCAGCAACACAACTGTAGGGATGAACGACACACACATCACAACATTATCATAATCACTGCGTCCCATATATGCATTCACAACAACCTACATGACAAATGTGGGGTGTAAAGTCTTCCTCAGGAGATGACAATGGCCATTCTTCTAATTCTGGAAGCAAAGTCTTGTCTTCCCAGTCAATACTAGAGAAAGAAGAGGTCAGCAGAAAAGTATCTAGTCGTTATGGCATTGTTTTTTTTTTAATAGTTATTTAACTTGCATTATGGAGGCTTTTGAACTCTTGTACATTGAAGACCTCATTCCAATTGATTTAGGCCATACTGGAAAAGATACAGAGAAAAGAATGCAATGAAGACATGTAAATTATTACAATGTCTATATTATATCATGCTCATAATTTATTTGGTAGTAGTCAGCAAGACTCTTACTTATTCTCAATACATAATAATAAAAATGTATGTAGTGGTCACGGAAGTTAGATTTGAGGTAAAGAGATAGTTTTTATAACAATAAAACTAATATACAGAGTGCAAGTTGAAAAACTTAGTCATTGAAGAATGAAATGCAGACCTACATATATATATAGTGCAAGCAACTATGTTTATTGGCAAAAACAAACGATTCATACAGATCAGAAGTGTTCGTAGCAGCCACATCATATTCACAACTACAGACAGCTAATGCTAACAGCGAACGCTAATGCTAACAGCGAACGCTAATGCTAACAGCGAACGCTAATGCTAACAGCGAACGCTAATGCTAACAGCGAACGCTAATGCTAACAGCGAACGCTAATGCTAACAGCGAACGCTAATGCTAACAGCGAACGCTAATGCTAACAGCGAACGCTAATGCTAACAGCGAACGCTAATGCTAACACCACTTCACGGGGGAACTCTGGTGATATGGTCATTTAATGTTGTACATGTGGGGAACTAATAATTGACCGGAGTTTATGGATGGCTGAGGCTGGGCTAAGGCTTCGATGTTGTGTTGTCTGTTGTTGTTTCTCAAAGCTAACCCAAGGTAATGCGCAGTTATTGCCACAAAATGCGGCCGTATTTCTACAACAGCTGGGTATTTTTAACTAGCTAACTTGGTGAAAGCCTGCATTACAGTCTCAGGCAACAATATGTATAAATAATACAACTACTACTGCCACTACTGAGTAACATGCTCACCTGTTCAGTCGGAGAGAGGAATCCACGGAGCTAGAGGTCGCCAACATGAATGCAGCTGGTCACCATGTTGCTCCTACTTTTTGTCGTTCCTCTGTTTCTGGCGTTTTGCCTGTATTTAATAAATCCATTGTATTTCGTCTGCAGCAGCGCTGGAGGCGGCTTTTCCTTCTCCGCCATGTTTGTTTTGAAGAGTGCGCGTGCACACACGGGAGAAACCCCTTATAAGGCGTGCTCTCTCGTCATTGGATAAGCGCATAGGATGTGAGGTTTTTTTATTAAATATGTGGGAGAAGACTGGAAGGACTGAGAGATCCGTGTTTAGGTACAAACACTCTATATAAGTGATGGCTATTGGAATATATCAATATTTAAGACGTATATTAACACCCAAAAATCGCTTACTGCTGCTTTAACCGGTCGCCGATTTACATCCCTACTCTCATAACACAGAGCCATCTTGCTCAGTTTGCGATCTGACATGTATACTAACATTAGCATTAGCGCAACTTCTTGTAAGCTCAACAACAATCACTGATGACATGGTACTAAAGCAACGCACTGCTAACACAATATATAAGTAAAAGAATACGGCTAGTTTCGCATCCAAATTCATTCATTAAAACATTAGAATATATTCGAATATTTAATTATAATTTATTATACAGCTCCTCACAGCAGCAGTAGAACACTCCATTGACTTGAATGTAATTCTACCGATCATTTTTTCTTGATAACAGAACTCTCAAATCAATAAAGACCGCAGCCCCAATGCAATCTCTGTTTGTAATTCAGGTGTGTAAAATACTGCCATTACTCCGCAAGGACAACGAGAGAAGCTAGCAGAGCTAGCCACGCTCAATAAACAACTACATATCTATCAATCAACACCATTAAATGTTAATCAGACAATACAGTATACATATACATCCTTAACACTCATGCATATACGTTTTCAGAATCTCCTGTTATCGTTTTCATGACCAAATTACTATTTTAATGTGACAAAAAGCAATCGCGAAAAACCCGGAAGTAACCATTAACATGTACCAGGGAGCTAGCTAGCTTAGCTGTTACCTGCCTAGCACGTCTCGGTGGAACCCTTGGGAGCTAACTATTTTATTTGCAGTTATTGAATACATTTCGAATGGTAAGGGCTGTCTAATATGTGTTCGAATATATATATATATATATATTTTTAATTTTAGAATTATATTCGAATTTCGAAGTCGAAGCCCTGGTGTTGAGCAGCGCTGTAGAGGCTAGAGGACACAGGCTGTTCGCTGCTCGTTCTGTGAGCGGAGGAGAACGAGCGTCCCGCTGAGACTCTATTCAGCACTTTTCACTGCTTGTAATTCTTACACAGCTGAATCAATTACCTCAAGTTTTCAATTAAATTATGGATTATAATACAACTTGTATGAAGTAATAAGCATTTTTATCAACTACTTAGAAAAAAAATCGGGTATAACTTCTTTAATCTAGGCTACACTCATGAATTTTTTGCATTGCCAACATTCACAGGTGTTTGAAAACAAGTGAATTTGGCAGATATCTAATACAACTGCACATACACTGTAATGAACTTTATCTACTTTTGAAGTAAATGCTTGTGAACACATTTTGAAGGAAATGGTCCTTTTACCATTTGATATTAGCACTGACTTGAAACATTCTCTATTTTTGAAAGCATCTATGGTTGATGCATTTATCTATTTCTCTCTATTGTGACTCCAAAGCTTGGCTGCAGCTTGAGTCAAGGCATATTTCTAGTTTGTGACTTCTGTAACTTTTAATGGCTGTAACATTATTCTGATTCTAATATTTTAGCTGCTCTATCAGAAGGATAACATTAGTTATGATTTTAACTTTTATGTGGAAATGTGTTTATGAAAAACAAATAAATCAAATTCTACTTTTTTACTACTATTTAACATCTACTAAAACGCTACAATACCCATACTTTATCATTTTAAAGCATTTTAACAGTTGCTCAGTCTCCCAGACTAAAAAGTCAAAGTTTTTGTCTGTCAGATGTCTGAATACTTAACATTTATTGCATTTGTCACAGTTGTGGTTCTGGTTGTAGCAATAGCATCGACAATAGATGATTTTTCATTGGCTGGTTCTTGTTCTGCAAATGTCTGTGTCCAATAGATCATCAGATGTCCAGAAGCTAGGGACAAACAAAAACAAAAGAAAGAATCATGAGTATCTGTCTCATTTAGCACTCATCAATGTATGATTTTAAAAATATAAACATCACTCCCCGGTTTTCTCTCTCAGGTCCTCAGATCCTCAGGTCCTCAGGGTCCCCTGAGGGTGAGTCTCAGTCGTCATCAGGTCAGGTCATATTTCGAGAGATGTCATCTTGGACATCAGTAGGGTCCAAGCCATGGTTTATTTGGTCTCTCCAGATGCATCGTCATTTGAGTCGCACATCGGATCTCCAGATACAGTCTTTTCACTTGAAGCACATCAGGTCATTTGCGATGCACTTCTGGTCAATGGTGCAGTGTCTCAGTTCCTGTACACAGCTTGTTATGCAGTAGTTACTTTCTATGGTTAAGTCATTTTGATTCTACTTTAAAGACAATTTCTATTCATGCTGTTGCTAATGTCCCTCAGACAAAAGCAAGCGCAATGATTCAGTTTACTTCTCTAATTTGTGTTTTTTTTAGATCTAATTCTAATCAATGTAATTACTTCACACAGTACAAAATCAAAAAACAAAACATGTCAAGACAGGCTAATTAAGTCCATAACAATATAGAATTCAAATGAACATTTCTGGTCTAAAAAAATACTGATTCAAATAAAGACTCAAGTGATAGACAATTAAAAATGTTTGTTTACATTGTAATAAACTTTTAAAATGCTTTTTTCTCATGTTCTGCTTTTTCATGTATCTATATGTGAATATGTGAGTTTATGAATGTGTGTGTGAGTGAGTGAGTGAGTGAGTGAGTGAGTGAGAATATTGGGGTTGTGTCTCCAGACTCCTCGAACCACCTGCAGGTGTCAAAGGTCACACTGTGGTGATGTAAACCAACTGGACACACTCCCAACTCTCATTCAGGTCTCTCCCTGATGCTCCACCCATCACGTCTCCAGACACCTCTCTCTACCCCGCTCTCTCTCACACCCACTCAGTTCTGGAGTGGCGTGGGGAGGGGCAAGGAGGTGGCATTTTCCTTTGCTCTTTGACCTGTGACCTGTGGCTGGGTGGGCGTTGCTGGGCTCCTGTGGTCTGAGCTCTCAGTGTCCACTCCCTCAGTCCAGTGACCCTGTACAGTGTGTGCCCTTGGTCCTGGAACACAACCTTATAGTCAAATTCAAAACAACAGATATCAGTTTGTGAATGAGATTGTTTTTCTCTCTAAAGTCTAATCAATTTTGGAGCGCTCTTGGCTTTCCAACATGCGCTATATAAATAAAGTTTACTTATTATCTTACTAATGATGACATTTTAAGACCAGAAACTCTCTTCATAAAAAAAACAAGACTCAAATCTCAAAAAACCTTCAAACTTTAAAATATGTATTATGTACTTTTGTATTGTGTGTTTAATTATCTATGCATCCTTGGGTTTCTTGAAAGACGCCATAAATTGAAATTATGAAAAATCTCTATAAAAATGAAAATTAATTTGTAAAAACATTAAAACATAACTTGAAAACATGAATCAAATCAAAAGATTAACTAAACTGGATTAATCACTTTATGGAATTTCCCTTTTACACTTGAACATTTATCTCAGCATATATTCTACTAATTTAAAATAATTGCAGCATTTTTCAAATGAAGTCAATATGAATTGGAGCACATTTCAAAGCAGTCTCTGTGCTGTGGCATCAGCAGCAGGAGCAAGGTCAGGTGCATAGTCAAAACAAAAAAGTCACCGCTTGCAATGTGAATTGGGTGAATTGGGTAGAGTTCAACTCAATAATATAATACTAATTACAGAATACTAAATACAGCTAATCCTAATTCCCTCTTTCTTTTTAGACAAAGTCTATGATCAATAATCACTTTTAACACAGATTCTAATTTAAATGTTTGAAAAACGGCTTTTGTAACTAAAATAAAAAATACATGAAATAATTCTCA